ATATTAACTACTACCATTCAATTTATTTTGACATTCTAGAATAGTTGATTTTAAAAATGTGCAAATTTTAAATCAAAATTAGAACTTGAAAAATTGCATATATAGTCTAGAATCTAGATACAAAGTAACAGATGATTTGATGTTAATTTCAAAGTCTCTTTTCTTAACCCTACGTCACAATTGATTTTGTGGTGATGATCATGTTCGATATAAATCTATCAATTTTGATCCGATATTCCAAACATAGCTATTTTCGTTGAAACTAATCGGAATCGCAATTTTAGAACATAGACATTTAGGACTTTGCCATTTAAGTAGGGACATAGCCATTTTAGTAGAGACATAGACATTTTAGTAGGGATATAGCGGACATAGCCATTTTAGTAGGGACATAGCGGACATAGTCATTTTAGTAGGAAAATATCGGAGTCGCAATTTTAGATGGGACATAGCCATTTTAGTAGGGACATAGCCATTTTAGTAGGAAAATAGCGGACATAGCCATTTTAGTAGGGACATAGTCATTTCAGTAGGAAAATATCGGAGTCGCAATTTTAGATGGGACATAGCCATTTTAGTAGGGACATAGCGGACATAGTCATTTTAGTAGGGACATAGCAGACATAGTCATTTCAGTAGGAAAATATCGGAGTCGCAATTTTAGATGGGACATAGCCATTTTAGTAGGGACATAGCGGACATAGTCATTTTAGTAGGGACATAGCGGACATAGTCATTTCAGTAGGAAAATATCGGAGTCGCAATTTTAGATGGGACATAGCCATTTTAGTAGGGACATAGCGGACATAGTCATTTTAGTAGGGACATAGCGGACATAGTCATTTTAGTAGGAAAATATCGGAGTCGCAATTTTAGATGGGACATAGCCATTTTAGTAAGGACATAGCGGACATAGTCATTTTAGTAGGAACATAGCGGACATAGTCATTTCAGTAGGAAAATATCGGAGTCGCAATTTTAGATGGGACATAGCCATTTTAGTAGGGACATAGCGGACATAGTCATTTATTAGGGACATAGCGGACATAGTCATTTTAGTAGGAAAATATCGGAGTCGCAATTTTAGATGGGACATAGCCATTTTAGTAGGGACATAGCGGACATAGTCATTTTAGTAGGGACATAGCGGACAAAGTCATTTTAGTAGGAAAATATCGGAGTCGCAATTTTAGATGGGACATAGCCATTTTAGTAGGGACATAGCGGACATAGCCATTTTAGTAGGGACATAGCGGACATAGTCATTTCAGTAGGAAAATATTGAAGTCGCAATTTTAGATGGGACATAGCCATTTTAGTAGGGACATAGCGGACATAGTCATTTTAGTAGGGACATAGCGGACATAGTAATTTTAGTAGGAAAATATCGGAGTCGCAATTTTAAATGGGACATAGCCATTTTAGTAGGGACATAGCGGACATAGCCATTTAGTAGGGACATAGCGGACATAGTCATTTCAGTAGGAAAATATCGAAGTCGCAATTTTAGATGGGACATAGCCATTTTAGTAGGGACATAGCGGACATAGTCATTTCAGTAGGAAAATATCGAAGTCGCAATTTTAGATGGGACATAGCCATTTTAGTAGGGACATGGCGGACATAGTCATTTTAGTAGGAACATAGCGGACATAGTCATTTTAGTAGGAAAATATCGGACATAGTCATTTTAGTAGGAACATAGCGGACATAGCCATTTTAGTAGGGACATAGCGGACATAGCCATTTTAGTAGGAAAATATCGGAGTCGCAATTTTAGATGGGACATAGCCATTTTAGTAGGGACATAGCGGACATAGTCATTTCAGTAGGAAAATATCGAAGTCGCAATTTTAGATGGGACATAGCCATTTTAGTAGGGACATGGCGGACATAGTCATTTTAGTAGGAACATAGCGGACATAGTCATTTTAGTAGGAAAATATCGGACATAGTCATTTTAGTAGGAACATAGCGGACATAGCCATTTTAGTAGGGACATAGCGGACATAGTCATTTTAGTAGGGACATAGCGGACATAGTCATTTCAGTAGGAAAATATTGAAGTCGCAATTTTAGATGGGACATAGCCATTTTAGTAGGGACATAGCGGACATAGTCATTTTAGTAGGGACATAGCGGACATAGTAATTTTAGTAGGAAAATATCGGAGTCGCAATTTTAAATGGGACATAGCCATTTTAGTAGGGACATAGCGGACATAGCCATTTTAGTAGGGACATAGCGGACATAGTCATTTCAGTAGGAAAATATCGAAGTCGCAATTTTAGATGGGACATAGCCATTTTAGTAGGGACATAGCGGACATAGTCATTTCAGTAGGAAAATATCGAAGTCGCAATTTTAGATGGGACATAGCCATTTTAGTAGGGACATGGCGGACATAGTCATTTTAGTAGGAACATAGCGGACATAGTCATTTTAGTAGGAAAATATCGGACATAGTCATTTTAGTAGGAACATAGCGGACATAGCCATTTTAGTAGGGACATAGCGGACATAGCCATTTTAGTAGGAAAATATCGGAGTCGCAATTTTAGATGGGACATAGCCATTTTAGTAGGGACATAGCGGACATAGTCATTTCAGTAGGAAAATATCGAAGTCGCAATTTTAGATGGGACATAGCCATTTTAGTAGGGACATGGCGGACATAGTCATTTTAGTAGGAACATAGCGGACATAGTCATTTTAGTAGGAAAATATCGGACATAGTCATTTTAGTAGGAACATAGCGGACATAGTCATTTTAGTAGGAAAATATCGGACATAGTCATTTTAGTAGGAACATAGCGGACATAGCCATTTTAGTAGGGACATAGCGGACATAGTCATTTTAGTAGGAAAATATCGGACATAGTCATTTTAGTAGGGACATAGCGGACATAGCCATTTTAGTAGGAAAATATCGGACATAGTCATTTTAGTAGGAAAATATCGAAGTCGCAATTTTAGATGGGACATAGCCATTTTAGTAGGGACATGGCGGACATAGTCATTTTAGTAGGAACATAGCGGACATAGTCATTTTAGTAGGAAAATATCGGACATAGTCATTTTAGTAGGAACATAGCGGACATAGCCATTTTAGTAGGGACATAGCGGACATAGTCATTTTAGTAGGAAAATATCGGACATAGTCATTTTAGTAGGGACATAGCGGACATAGCCATTTTAGTAGGGACATGGCGGACATACCCATTTTAGTAGAAACATAGCGGACATAGCCATTTTAGTAGGGACATAGCGGACATAGCCATTTTAGTAGGGATATAGCGGACATAGCCATTTCAGTAGGGACATAGCGGACATAGTCATTTTAGTAGGGACATAGCGGACATAGTCATTTTAGTAGGAAAATATCGGAGACGCAATTTTGGATGGGACATAGCCATTTTAGTAGGGACATAGCGGACATAGCCATTTTAGTAGGGACATAGCGGACATATGGGACATAGCCATTTTATAACTACCCGCCACAATGACGCATATTCATCAAAACGTTGATGTCTAAAAAAATTGTGGTGGTTGGAGTCTTGTATATTATTTTTATTCATATGCTTATTGTCGCAGACCATGGACCTTTCCCCGAGCATCGACTTCATAATTCATATCCGTGATTTGTTTTTCTATTTTGTCGCAACAACCGGAAGGTTTGTACCGTATCTGGTGAAAGTTTCTGCCAGGACCTGTTGAACTACGTGTTTGCAGAGCGATCGCGCTAAATCGCCTGCAAAGCTATCTGGGCTGTTGAAGGTGAAAATACTTGCATATATTGTCATCACGGTTAGTCTCGCAAAAATAAAATACTGGGTCAATTAATCCCTAATTTTCGGCAAACTCACACACACTCCATCATGAGTGAGGAGTTTTTGAAGAAAAATGATTTCAAATGCGCCGTAAATGTAATTGAACTAGTAGTATATATTTACAGTTGCCTACACGTCATGATATTATAATCATATTCCAATTTTCGCGAAATACAGAAAAGTTGAAGCTGAGTGCAGATATTTCAATGACTCATCGACGTTAAAACGGTTTTATAGAACACCCGTATGACTGATTTAATATGCCTCTGTGGTTGTCAATAAGGTTTGCAACATTGATAACTATGAGATTTGCAAGCGCCATTATGATACAAGGCATTCCAGATTTTCGGGGCTAGCTCGCCGAATGAGACAGAATTAAATTAATCTATTCGTACTGAAAAAACAGATCAACTTACACATCAGCTTGTAACTGAAAAATGAAGATATTTAATACTCCGACTCAAGGCTAGGGCTGGGCATTTCAAATCGAATATTCGACTAGTGAAATATTCAAATCGGTTCAGAGCAAAATTTCGAATCGCCGCCATCCTGATTTTTATTCTTTCCGCCAACGGTCGAGGTGAATGTCTCAATTTTTCCTATTAAAACCATATTTTTTCAAAGCAATTCTTACATATGACTATTTTCTGTAGTGAGGTTTTGATCAATGAGTGTTTTTTATTGTAACTGAACGCTCCGCAATCTGTCTTAGTGATGTATTCCATGTTTTCAGTAATTCATTTGTTGATCGGACCAATTACAATAAACATGTCGCATACAATTACATATCCTCCATTGACTCCCAAGTATTCGAGATTCGATTCGAAAAAAATATTCGATTCGACTCTAAAATCATCCGGTATTCGAAATTGCCCAGCCCTACTCAAAGCACAAACTCCAAGAAACCAACTTTTGACAAGACCAATGCGTATCCAAGCTTTTTTTTCTATTTGAAATTCTGATTCACTTATTCCATCCTAATTCTGCATTTCCGACGGATTCAAGACTTCAAGTCCGCTAAGTTTAATTTACAACTCCAACAAGCCAAATTCACACTCCGGTATCGAAACCCTCGATACGTGCTTCAAATATCACTGTAGTTCTGGTACCCGGAACTGATGGGCGAAACATGGACAACCAACCCCGAGTCTTATCATAAACATTCTTCAGGAAACTGTGAAAATTTTATTTTCACATATATAAAAAAAAGTAGCTAAAATGCATAATTTCATAATATCCTTTAAGTTCAAATATGTGCAGTAAACACCAATTTCGTCTGTGTGATATTTTCACACTTCAACCAATGATAATAATGTCATTGCTTCAACGCACAAACAATATATATTTGAAGAAATTAGGGCAAGCGATTATACGATTTAGGAAAACAATAATGAACAATTTGTTACATAAATTTCATTATATATGATACAGAAAAAATGGTAGAATATATATCATGAAACATCCTTTCTTTACGTTTAAATGTTCTTTAGTAATAATGAAGATAGATTACAAATCAAATTGAATATTTAAAAAAAATATTAAAATTGTGGTGGCGGAGAAAATCCAAATATATCATAATCAGTCTTGTATCTATGATAAAGAAGGTTCACTGAACTTGCTGAAACGTTACTGAAATAGTTATAAACTTTTTCTCCGTCCGTAAAAGAATTGAAAGATGGTGGAAAAACAACATTTTTCATCCTGAATTGTTTCATAAAATATTCCATGTCAGTGTCGAGGGTGCTCATGTGTGCAATGTAATCGTATTGTATATCACAAGGAGAACAAAGTCTGTAATAATAATTCCAATGTGGATCTTGTTGATTGTCTCTTTTAGCTGTAAGATATTCCACAAAATCCTGTAGACTAGTTTTGGTTATCCCCGTCTCGTTACCGGTACCATTGCCGTATTGAGCATGGATTCTGTGGGATAGTCCTACGTAATAGCCATTACCTCTTTTTCTTTCGAGCTTGTCTCGGAATGCTGAAAGTAAACGACTGAATGGTTCCCGTACTATAATGAATTTTGTATAATTTTTAATCCTTTTTGCAACTTCCGAAACGTTCAAGTTCCGCACAGAGAGTCGTCTTTCGATATATTCAGAAGCCGATTCGTTTGCAAGCTTTTCGTCTATAATTCCTTCGATGTTTGCAAGAAAATTTGCCTGGCTGCGAGTAGCGCATTTTGGTATTGAACAGAACAAAATCTGAAAACAAATGATGAAATACACCAATCTGAAGATAATAGGAAATATGAAAAGGAATTCATTTTTAGTCAGTTTTATTGAGATGGCGCAGTTGGTGGAAATGAAGCACTTTTACGGAAAATACACTGCTGAAAAGCGTGCCGTTGGCTTTTCGATATTAACAACACGTGGACCCAATTTATTCAATTTATGAAACGTGTCATCTCAAAATATTGACTTTCTAAAATAATTTCTAATAACGAATAAGGCCGGTAAAGACTTACTTTATGTTTATCCGAATAAAACAGGCTTGTTTTTAAAATGGTGTTTTTGAGATAAAATTCTTCATATGAAGAGATTTTACCATGGTCAAGTTTATTACAACTATCAACCAACGCTTGTTTTCTTTGTTTTATCCTGTTTTGCGTTTCGGACGTCAAAGAATCTAAAACAAATAACAATAAATTATTCTATATATATATTTTTTCTCTGTTAGCCTAAATTAGGGAAAAGTGGGAAAAGTCTGGTAAAAATATCTAAGAAATCGCTCAAAAATATCAGCCAGCTGTTTTGGGTAGGCCGACCTTCACAAAATAATTTAGTGCCTCTTTTGATAGAATTGAAGACAAAAGAAGAGAAAAGAATTGTAGACAAAAGAATTCAGTGCCTCTTTTGATAGAATTGAAGACAAAAGAATTGAAGCAAAAGACCACTGAAGTTATAAGCGCCATAAAACATATTACAAGACAAAGAATATATATGATAAACTTGATATAAACTCTCAAATTCTAAGTTACCGTATATCGTTTTTTCAAGCTCAGGCGAGATATATGGATCAAAACAGATGCTCAGGAAAAAAAGTGGATTGAAATAAATTTATTGGTCCAGAATACAAATTTTATTAGGTAATAATGTTATACAATTATGATTGTTTTAGATTTTAAATCAATGCGGATATTATACTACATTCATATGTGTTCTTCATGTGGGCAATGCAATAGCCTTCTTAAAACAAGACCATACAAATTCCGATGAGGAGCCATATGTGCAGCATATGTTCTATTTCAAATTTCTCTATCACAGTGGTTCCCAATCCTTTTTTCAAGCGACCCAAATTTAAAAAAATTTTTTTTTGTAAAATCTCGCGACCTAGAGGCATGTAGTACTTTCATGACCACAAAAATAAATTACTAATATAAAACAATCATTTTTACGTCACATTTATTTTCCCAGAAATTATTTCATGGTGAGAAAACTGCGTGTTTGCCATCAGCTGGTTTTTGAAATCTTGGCATGGTTTGACTTTAGCAAAATAAATGCCAAGTTTTTACGCAGTGATACTTTCCACACATGCACTTACTAATGAGCAACACTACAATGCCAAATATAAAATAAACAATAAAGTTTACTAGAAAATAGAATTAGTAACTTTTAGGTTTCTGTTGACGAAAATAGCGACCCAAGAACATTTTCAGGCGACCAAGTTTTGCGTCACGACCCGTAGGTTGGAAAACAATGCTCTGACACACGTCCGACATGTAAAACATCAATATCGCGACTCTGATCATATATAATTATTTTTCAATAATGAGTTCAAAATATATCTGTTAAAACGAATAAAAATATCAATCTAATAAATCATCTCTAAAAATTGTAAAGATATGAGAATACCGATAAGTTATGCATGGCTTTGTTGGGTTAAATATCGGCTCTGTTAACTTCTTAACTATGCTATATATGCTATAGCGATTATACCTAAGTAATAGAACTATTAACATAGTGAATGATTAATAACTTCTAAGTAGAAGATAGAAACGAGAACGATGGTAATATCGTTGTCCTAAGATTCAATCCCAAAACAATAGAAGGAAAAAAATATTTGGACCTCCTGCAGTATGCGCACCAAGATGGCGCACAACCTGAACTCAGGTTGTGTACCAGGTTAGGGTTCAGGTTATGCGACATCTTGGTGCGCATACTACCATATTGGAAAAAAACAAAAAAAGAATTGTAATAAACGTTTGTAATCTTGCATTGTCGTCTTAGGAATATAGGGCCTTTTATTTTAAAAAATTTCCTGATATTTTATCAAACTAATAATATTTCAAGGAGGTATCAAAAAGTGCGACATCGCCTGTTTTAGAATTGTGACCATCTGTTTTACTTTCAAATTTCAAAAGGTTATCAAAGAGACTCAGATAAAAGGATATTATTTACATTTCAAGGCTTATACATGTTTAGTATTTACAGATCAAATAGACACAAGCTTTTATGAGATATACTACTGAATACTACTGAACGATTCCCTCCGCAATAGTTAATCATTAATAGACTAACACAGATATACGGAGCACGTACCCCCGATGCCCCAAAAAACATTTTATTATTTCATCAGTTGCTGCTTAAACGAAATCACAAGACAGAACATTTTCAAAGCATATTAGCATTTTATTCTGATTTGTATCGTACCTATTTGTTGTATTTATTAGGACATCAATATTTAATAGGCTTCATTTATCTTAAGAAGCTAGGCTATGGTCCAACGAAAGATTACAAATATAAATTAGAAGTATATGCAAAACGTGTGTTGTAGACTAACGCATGAAACCACTGACCTAAAATCGAACATCAATCAGTTTTTTCTACCGGCAGTAGGCCTACACGATTTTTCGGTGACCGTACATTTGAACCCATGCGTATATCCACGGGTTCAATCTATATGCGGGTGCTAAAACCCTTGGGTTAGGGTTAGTATGGGTTTAACTATCCGTGAAACAAAAAAAAATCCATAGGTGCAATAGCATACAGGTGCAATTGTCATGGGTTCAAATGTACGTGGGTTCAAATGTAATGGAACCGATTTTTCTCATTCGCTTACCTCTACTTATTACTTCATCCTCGGCAGATGATACTTGACAACGAGTCGGGGTTGTTGCTGCTGTTCTACTTAACACGGAGTCTTCAGCCAACGATCTCATGTTCTATATTAATATCAAAAATATTACAATTCATAAAATTAATAAACATAAATTCCTCAGTTTAAATTCAATGACTATGTATATATATTTGTAAACCGCCAGCTTAGTTTAAAATCAAAAACGTTATTGTTAGATGATTCATTTGAAGTTATTCCTGTAAGATTATGTCCGACATCATATTTGGCTGAATACATATTTGCAATTAATTATATTTTTGTATATATATGTGTATATATATAAACATAATTCTATTCAGCGTCACTCTTACTGCTATGGCTGGTCATCGAAACGATTTCTGGCTGTCGAAAATGACACAGCGTGAACTGTAACAGAACTCTTTTCATCCTATACATAACAGGATTTAGGCATGACGTGAACAACAAAATATAGTATTTGTAATTTTTTCGATTCGCAATCGTATTGTTCACCCTAACTTCCTCAAAACAGAAACAAAAATGAAGTCACAAATAAACTTGTACCAAACTGTATCGAATGTTTGTAGGCTATTTCTCTTTTTCCGAAAAGCCAAAATACTGTTATCAATAATACATTTTTATTCCTACTCCCACGGAGATTCTGATAAATTGCAGAGCTATAAAAGGTTGATGCATGTTCATTTCATTTTTAGATTCAGAATTTTTAGTATACTATTCAACTTACAGTGTAGCTTTTTGCAATGTACAATCTTTCAACCAGTAACAATCCCGAAAATGCTGCGATAATGATTATGAAAACTTTTTTGCGTATAGGAGGCATTCTTCAAGTTAAGATAGGATGCTAGCTATACGTAACTGGAAGTTTAGAAATGATAATGAATTTCGCTCAGACACAAAATTGTAATAATCATTGGTCACACCAACTACAGATACGACGAGAGCTATTATCTGAAAGTTGAATCCTCGTGACAGAGCCGAGGTAGCCTGTGCCTGTAGATGTGTCAATAAACACGATGTTAAAAATTTGGTTTGCTGTGAGACGAACTAGAAATCAACTTGTTTCCCTACTACTATGACGTAAGAAGCAATTGGATCTCATAAACACGCATCAAGATTTCTCATCATACTGGGCGCTAATATTATTAATAATTGACACCAATTCGTATATATATATTTTAGTACCAGAATGAAGTTGGTTATTTACTAATTTTGGATGAACCAATTGCCTGCTGCTATTTTCAAATTCAATCCCACGTCTTTTGTGTACTATAATTTAATAAACACCTCTACACATTACACTTTGACAATATGATACTACACTCGCAATATTTCGCGATCAAGGGTATCGCATTTTCTTCTGTAGCGAAAGGTTGTTGTATTACTAAACTACTGCCAGTTCAATTTTTTCAGCTCAAGTTTAACAATAGCTACTACGTTTTCTAGATTGTTAGAGAAAATGTTATAAGAATACTATGTAACCTCACTGGATCAAGATTACAGCAGCTCTTACATATAACCATTCGCAAGTTACCTTCGACAACGACAATTAAATCAAAATTTAGTTTATCCCCAGGCTATGTAAAATTCGAATCACTGGAATTGAAGCGCGAAAGCGAACAGTGATGGGGAAGGTGAAGTATGCCTGAGATAGTCGACTTTAATCGTGGTTTGAAGCTTACAAATTTTGGTACTCCCGAAGTATTTGAACCAAGATAGCGGACACCGGAACGTAGTATGTGTACCAGGTTAGGGTTAGGCCATAATTTCAGGTACAAATACTACGGGAGTCACTTGGCTAGTCCCCGAACTTGTGATAGAACTAAAATAAAGAAAATCGGAATAAAATTATGGCCTAACCCTAACATGATACACATACTACGTTGCGGTGTCCGCCATCTTGGTTCAAATACTTCGGGAATACCCAAATTTGTACCAAACACTATTAATGCCAATGGCAATACCTATATTGCGACGCACTCCTGTTGTCTCTCGTACCGCACCAATGTTGCCCAAGAGGCGACAATGATCTCTAAAAATTCAACTGAAAGAAATTATATATATATAGCTGAATATTTAGAACGAAGAATCCGTTACAGGCGGTACTATATATATATGACTAAGAATAATATCCTGCCCTGCATGTGGTTATAAATTCACGACCATTCCACAACCTATTTAATCGATATGAATAATAAATAATTTGCTTCATTGCTGATTGCAACATTAATCCTCAAGTTATGCTGTAAAATGTGAAGCGCACTGGTATTCTCTAGCTAGCCTAACGTTACTCTATCAACGATAATCTAGGTTCGCCACTGCTGGTACTGGTATAACGATGAATACGAAATTGTGTAAAAAAGGGTGTTTTCACTCTCTTTTTCATTACAAAATTTTACAGTGATTGCCTCTATTTCATTCAAAAAAACACGCTACCTAGACTTGTACACTTCTTGCCTTCACTGGCGTGGTGTTTATTTTTGAACTTCTGTAATGTTGCTTAATGATATTTACTGTGGTATCAACTATGAATTTTCAGTAGCGAAAGCACTATGATACGAAAAAACGAGCGATACGTCATTTTTGAGTTAAAATTAGAATTGCAACTTTTACGTTACTGCAAATGCCACTCAAGCGTGCATCGAATTGGAATAGCCTGCGCAAATTTTTGTTCAGAAACGTACGAGCGATTGCACGATGTTTCCATTTTCGTATACAGTCGCTCCATGCCCGTTATTTGCATGTTCAGATGGAGGGCGTAGAACATGGGTGGGCAACATACGGCCCGGGGGCCGGGTACGGCCCGCGACGAGATTTCGACCGGCCCGCTGACTGTATCCAACCACACTGTGTAATGTGGTCCGACGCATCATTCGTGAAAGTTGCCGATCGCTCTACACTCACCGCACCGCACTCACAATTGCCTTAGTGAACAAACAATTGCGTTAGCACACTTGTTAAACAAACAATATAAGGTCAGAGCAGAGAGCGTTGTAAACATTCCCCACTAATTCGTATGTGTATGATCGTAAGAAAGGGTAATTCGGCAGACATAGTGTTATCGGTTCCAAATATTTATGGCATAAATAGCTACGCTGAAGCTGAACCCGACTCATTCATTCAAATGGACTTGAGACAAAGAAAACTAGAGCACAGTTTACTGCGTTGCTATATCATTAATATACCATTTACAAAACACACCCCAGATGCGAGATAGCGGATACAATAACTCGAGCTAACTAAAAATGCTTTATTGAAACAATATTCTAACTCCTAATCTCAGACTACTTCTCGTAATCAATACAAAGGTTAGTGTTTTCTCATATAGTCATATTAATTTTTCGCTGCCATGACTAGATAATAAGCGATAAAATACAATGATCTCAATTAAAATGTGGAATTCAGTCGACCATGCGCGCAATAAAATTTTTCCCATTTTCACGACCGCTAATTAGCAAAGCAAAATTATTGTTCGCTAGGAGTCGCACTGGTCCGGCCAGACACAGGTATCATCTTTTAGACTTTTTTGGACCATTCCACGTGGACACTCGCAATTTACATCAGGTCTGCATGGCTTGGTGCAAAATCTTGGCGTTTTATTTTCGCAGGTAGCTGGACATCCACTGGCACATCTAGTGGGCTGCTTTCTCAGTGGACAATCTAGATAGAATAATATAATTTATTTTACACTCTGCCACGGTACAAGAGTGACAACACGCAGGATAAGGAAATCAGTGAAGTTGCCAAAACTTCAAATTAGGTTAACACATGCAAAATGAAAGTACTAAATAAATACCGGTAGGCAATCTTAAGTTACACAGTGAGTGTGACATAGAGTCATTGACTATAGGTGAAAAACGCGACGGGTTTCAATCTTGCGATAATACATTATAACAAGAGAGAAACTCTCAAGTATATGGACATGTAGACGAGAACGAATCAGTCCTTACCGGTACCTATTACGCTACCGGTACCCTCAGAAAAGTTCCGGATTTCCAGTAGCAAGAATTTTGCAGAATCAAAACGTACAGCCAGTCATCACGCGGACTGAAATCTGTGTTCCCATGGATAAAAATGATACAGCGAAATTTCAAATTTCATGGAATTCATACAAAATTTGGAAATGAATAAAAGTAATAGCCTTCTGGAGAAAAATTCAATCTTCCAATACTGAAAATTTCAAAGCAAAAAGGCGAGTAATCGAAGAGAAAGCGACTTTTTAAAAACGTGTCAAAGAACAATAAGAACAGCAACAACATACAATTAAAATGATCCATAGGTCCACTTACGTGTCCAATAAGTGTATAATAGCATTGCATATAAATTGGCATACATACATGCACATATAGATGTTAGGAACATTTTGATCTATTTTTTCTGACCTACAAAAATAATTATCTTACCATTTTTCAGTCCGGGACATTGGGATGGAAAAACGCATTTTTTGTCGGAGTCGCTAATTTGTAGAAGACCAATAGAACATTCGCATTGAACCCCAGATTTGCACCCTTTTGGGCAAGACGGAACAGGATCCTTGCAAGTTGGTGGACATTTTGACGCGCAATTAGTCGCAACCAAAGGAAACTCGCAAGATTCTAAAAATTATAAGTTCTATCTGATATAAGAATAAAAACAAACATATCTTTGAAGAGCTGAGATCATAATTAATCAGGAAATGCATTTTGAGTCATCATACACAATGCTGAAGAATCTTTCGTAACTTCCAGTGGCCGTTTGTGGTCAAATCAGTGGTTAACAGAATTAGTACAGGAATCTAATTTCTCAAGCATGTAAAGCCACGATTTAAGGTTTGTACCATGAAATAAGCATTCCAAAATAAAGGAAATGTTAAATTAATAATGAAATGACGATATTTTTCAATTCGTCTATTGTCTTCAGGAAAATTTTACACTTTTGCAAATACCATATATAATAAATATATATATAACAGGGATGGCGAACCACTGACCCGCCCATTGACCAACCGCGTTTTATTCGTGACCAACCATGGCACGAATAGAATAAAATGGTAAGATATCAGTGAAAAAAATTGATAAACCGGCTTAAATTAATCTAACAATAACTAAACTATTATAATGTATCCTCAGGTCGATCGCTCATACTCAAATTGTTAATTTCCGGGCCGGTATGGTAATTTACAAAACCCCTAATCTTGCAGCCATGTCTGCACTGCTGTGTAACGTTATTCAGCTATTGGCTCTGTAATTGTTTATGACATAACAATGTAATTGATCTGTTCATTTCTCGTAACATCTTGTCTCTTTCGGAAGTGCATTTGCAGACTGTTTTAGGGGTTATACGAGAACCAGATGCTACTTTGCATTTTATTAGATTCTCGCCTACAACGCCGTTGAGAAAACAAAATCTTTCAGACTTGCAATAAAAACCTAGAAATCTGAAATCAAACTGCCATCTCACCTGGACATTCCGACAACGGGATACAGCTGTCATCTCCGCTTGTTGGATGGACCATGCCAGCTGGACATACACATTGGACGTCAGGATCACACGCTTTGTCACAAAATGTGGGATTCGGAGTCTGGCACGTTGGTCTACATTTAGAGGCGCAATCCACAAAGACTTTCGGAGATTTGCAGACTGAGATAAACAATAATAGATGTTGTTACCACATATATATATCCGATACATTTGGCTAAACATCTGTCCATAGTGGAGTAGTCTAAGTATTGTGTTAATACATCAGTTACATACATACATTAGCTTAAATTATCTCAATTTACCTGGGCAATCGTTCTCTGCAATGCATGTTCTATTGACCTTGTCGTGCTGAACCATACCGTAAGGACATACACAAAGAATGTTTGCATCACATGCTCTGGAGCATAAAAAGGGATCGGGTTCTGCACATGTCGGAGGACACTTTGAAGCACATTCAGCAAATACTTTGGGAGGCTTACATATAGGCTTTCCTGTAATAATGATATAAAAATATTTTACCCTATATTTGAAATGTAGTGAAAACTGACCGTTCCGTTCAATTGTGTATTGCTATTGGAGCAAGCTTGCTTGGCTCTATAGAAAAGCTGCAAACAAATTATGTCTACACGAAAGGATTTGCACTCTGCCAGTGTGTTTAATGTTCCAGACAGGCCGTTGACCTTACCCCAGTATGTTCCCCAGCTTTTCTTTTTAGGGGGGGTGTTTCAAAATTTAGGGGGTGGTAAATAATTTGCTGTTAGATATAAAACTAGGCTATTTGTATTCTTAAAAAAAATGGTATGTATTTAAGAAACGATGTAGGCTACATGGGGCCCCCCAAGTTGATTGACGCGAGCCAAAATCCACAGCAGAATGTAATTGTAGGGCCAGAAAAGGGGAGCGAGGAAAAGTGCGGGACGACACGGCTGGGGTTCAGGGCGCGCTCAAGCGTCCTGAGAAAATTTTGAGAAATAGGCACCAAAATAGGCTCTAAGCTTGATTTTAGATACACCTAACATCGCAGTTTGTTATGTAATGAAATCAATAATTATAATATTTAGCTGATAGAATTCCCGGGGAATAGATAACAAGCACGGCTTTCAACCGTAAATATATACTACTATTTTACAACAAGTAATTTGCAAGTTGCAACTGATAGTGACTAATGAAGTTACTTGCTCATCTGGCATTGTATGAATGGCTACTTATGGCTTGTTTTGTTACACATTTCTAATTTTTTTGAACATGTTTGTTTGACTTTTGTATGAATTAAATTTTGGAATAAGCTCGTCAACTGATCATAATGTCGCATAATGTTGTATTCCTTCAGAACTGAAATATTTTGTTGGTAAGAAGACAAATCGCTGAAGTTTGATTCTTTTCAATAAAGAAATAAACAACGCTGTCATTCATCTAAAAAAAAGTCTGTTTTCAGTGCCTAGTTTTCGTTTTGTGGCATCTTTAAGCTTTCTTAATATACGGCTGATATCTAAAATACTGCAGTGTGTAATCCTAATACCCATACGTATAAATAAGATACCGGAATAATTCAATTGTTACGAAATAAACGTGCTTAAACTGTGATAATGATGTAACAATAGACGGTATCTAAAACTCAAAAGGTACCACATGAAGGGTTAAACTATTTCACTCAAGTTCGGCGGGCCATTTTAAATCGTCACGCGGGCCGTAATTGGCCCGCAGACTGCGGTTCAGAACCCCTCAGTATGGAATCGCACCTCAAAATTAGGGGGGGGGTGTTTGAAATTTTAGGGGGGGTGTTCACCCCCTATAGGGGGGGTGTAGGGAAATCACTGCCTTACCCATTAATTATGAAATTTGTTAAGCTATTCCTATCTCGTCTCTCAACTCCTGTAGCCTACCTCTGAGCGTCTACAGACACTCTGTAACCCTACTCGAAAAAATTATTTTTCGGCTGTTCGAATTACAATCAACAATTTAGTAATATTAGCTCTACCAATTATGCTATAAATATCAAGTGATCCAAGTTAATAATTAATGGGCGTTGCTACACACTAACACGGAAATATATACATTTGTGTTAGTGAGCAGCAAGCTTCTTGAATCCCTTAAGTTTGTAATCGTTACTATTGTTAAAGCATCCTTGCATTATATGCGTACAGATCCACCGGCACAAAAGCATAGAATAAGGAAAAGCAGTTAGCCGCGTATAAATCCAATCGATAGCACAATTTAATTAATGCGTGGTAGAACTTAGTATTTAGTGCTTTCAAAAAAAATATGCTTGCCAAATATGATATGCATTTAGCTCAAATCAATAAAAGAACTATACTGTGGATGTTCAGACTCCTACTTGCGCATTCTGATTTTTTGATGCAGGTAAAAGTTTTAGCATCTGGTTGTACCATTCCTTCAGGACAAACGCAATTTCGGGGATTGCATCCACGCTGACATCCCTCTGGTGGTTCTGGGATTTCACATGTAGGCTGACACAGCGATGGACACTTTTCAAACACTTTGGGTGCTTCACACACTTCTGAATTTAAATGTAATGTAATACATGTAAAATGTAGGTATTATTATGCATTTATTAGTAAAAATAAAGACGAGTCGCGGATATGATCGCTTGCATATAACTTGGCCCAAGAATCTTGAAACCTTGCTAGAGTGAGATATATTCAAATTAGATGGCCATCCAAACCTATGTAGTCACGGCTATCTATACACAGCGTTGTTGATCCAGGGGTCTATTCGCTAAACTTTGTTACCGTTTTTAACATGATAGCAAAGCACCAATTTTCTAGTAAAACGAGAAATTCACTAAAATTCGTAAATATTCGGGAGAATTTTTTCGCGCCAAATCAGACGTCTCGTAAAATGCCTTCTTCTCACATTCTCTCAAGGTATTAACATTCGCCAACTTTCTTCAACACGCTGGAGCGCTCGCGAATTAAAATACCCAAATTTTCCTCGCCAGCGGCTAGGTCTGTTTTCAGCACGTATTCAAATTAAAATAGTCTTGCTTCGCCTACTTCATAAAAAATTTATTTAACTATATAAACTACACAATCCAGCAAACTGCAACGGTAATCAATCATAATATGCAACTTAAGCATTTCCTGTATCCATGGACTACTTTTACGTGCCTGCTTGGCACGCCCAGGTGGCTGACGATTGCAAGAGATAGCATTGAGGTTCAACGACAATCGTGACTAAGATTTCGAGAGAATGTAACCGCACATATGAGATCAATCAATCAATCGCTTATTTGTCATCACAAAAACAAGTTCAAATGAGACTGATGCAATGAATAAATAAAACCCACTATCGCATTTCCTGAGAGACACAGTTACGTGCTGGTAAACCATGCTTTCACGGGGTTTAGCGAATGACCCTCCCGATGAATAAATTGTAGCATAACACCTAAAATAAACTGTTCTTACTTGGACATTGCCCCTCTTTCACACATTTTTTGTTGTCCAGGCTAAGTTGAATGTAGCCCACAGGGCAACCGCAGGTATACTCCGAGTTACAATCGATGGAGCAAGGGCTCGGTTTCTGTTCGCAAGTTGCAGGACATTCTTTAGTGCATTTAACCCTTATTGCTGGAGCTTCACAAGCTAAAACATTAATGAAATATTAAATTTATTATGAAGGCCGACTCAACGATCGGTATGCTATCTACAACGTGGTAAGGAGAGAGAGAGAGAGCTAGAGAGTCCGTGGCGTGTATATTTGTAAAAGAACAACATCAACACTGGAAATCATCAATTAGAACTCTATTCAATCAGTGCGATTCGAATATGAAAGCGTACAACTGCGATAGCTGTGCAGAGTTGGAAACTCACCACGAAAAGCGAGTTGCCGATTGCACGGAAGCATACATTTCAGCCATCCTCTGCTGACTAATAGAGTTAAACAGCAAATCTGCCACAAAAATATTTTGAATCAATCGAGCAATCTCACCGGCGGTAACTGCACCAGATTTCACCACTTACCTTCCTGCTTACCCGGACATTCAGACGGTTTAATGCAAGTGCGATTTCTCTCATCTGGTTGAACCATACCTTCTGGGCAAATGCATTTTATGTGATTGCACCCAAGACGACAACCCGGAGGCTCCGGATTGTCACAAGTAGGCTGACACATAGACGGACACACTTGGTACACTTTTGGTGCGTCACAGGTCCCTCAATGAAAAAGAAAGTAAAAGAATAAAAACCATAAGAATTTCTTTTTACAGTTAATAAGTTAACAACATAACATGTAATGAGGTGACCACGTCATGATTTTCATATTTCAACTCCTCAAAAAGCATGTGGATGTCTCTGTCGGTGCTAATATAGAAAGCATTGAACCCCAGCTAATTTTTACATTGTTCGAAAAGTAGTATAAATCTTCAATGCAATGCTACAAATCACATCAGATAACTTAGTGGAGCGGTCGGAAGATTAAATTATTTTAGTTTAGTTACAACTCAGTCAGAACGTTACAGTTGTCCTTAGCTTACTCGGACATTTTCCTTCCTTGACGCATTCTTTTTTGTCCAAACTTAATTGAATGTATCCACTTGGGCATCCACATGTATATTCGGATTTACATTCAACGGTACAAGGCCAGGGCTTTTCTCCGCATGTCGCTGGGCATCTAGTTTTGCACTTCATGCGTACAGCTGGGGCTTTGCATTCTGAAAAAATGAACGAATATAGAATAAAATGAGAAGTATAAGCACCTTCGGTCGAATTCCCAATAAATGCCTCACCCTCTGTTTTACTCGAACATTCGGCCGGCTTAATGCAAGAGTGGTCCATTTCATCTGGCTGTACCATGCCCTTGGGACATATACATTTTCTACGGTTACATCCGAACTGACAACCTTTAGGGTCAGGATTCTTGCATGTAGGTTGACAGAGGGACGGGCAAATTTCATACACTTTCGGTTCTTCACATGTGCCTGTGAAAAAAAAAATCTGACTAGTAGAAACCTATTCTCATTTAAACAACTTGGACAAAGTAGAATCCTCTTACGTGGACAAGCTCCTTCTTTGACACATTCATGATCATCAAGACTTAATTGAATCCATCCTATCGAACATCCACAGGTGTATTTTGATTTACATTTCACTATACAATCATCCGGTTTTTCAACACATGTAGCTGGACATTCATCTGTACACTTTATGTGCATTGCTGGGGACTTGCAGGCTAAAAATAAACAAAAGTTGCACGGCATTGATGTTTTCCTATAAGCGGAGACGACGATGTAAAAGTTGCAATCTAAAACAATATATTACTCACAGAATTGCAAAACACAAAATTGTAATTTTAACCAAAAAACAGAATGCAAAAAGAATACTAAAGATATTTAACTTGATAAAAAACAATAAGAATACCAGTAACGCTTCTGTATATACTCTACCTGGACAATCTACTAACTTCACACACTCGTCGTCATTTACGTTCAAATGAACGTAGCCTTTTGGACAACCACAAACGTATTTGGATTTGCATGTTCTTTTGCACGAGACGTTTATTTCTCCACCATAGGTACAGCTTGGAGGACATTCAGGTGTGCATTCTACTGGAAATGATACACCTTTGCAGCCTGTTGAAACCATTTAGTAAAATCTTATTTACTTAATTGACTTTTATATAGCCAGTGCATTTGCAGCAATTCAAAATTTTGAACTTGAATTCCAATCTTGATACTAAAATTAGTTGAGAATACCGCTCACAGGTCCAATAATATCTGCTGTTTTTATCTATGTGATCTCAATTTATCTCCTTTTCTAGTCGGGTATCATTTACTATACACGGTTATATTTCCACTTAAGCTAATCGAAAGTATGTGCGTATCATTCGTATATTTCGAAGAAATGGTTTATTTTAAAGTAGGCTATTGTAAATTAAGGGGTTGAAATATGGTATTCTGTTATTACCCAAATAATATAAACTCACCCAAACAATCTGCGAGTCTAACACAAGTTTTGTCGGTTTTGCTTCTCTGCAGATAGCCAACCGGGCAAGAGCAAATATTTGCTGGTGTACATTTCTCTTCGCAAGTCGGTTCAGGATCGTCACAAGTTGCGGGACAGGCAGTTCCACAGCCAATTGCAACTCTTGGAGATTCACATAAAGCTAGTTGTAAATAAATTGCAATATAATGGAAATTTGAATCACACTCAAAATATAACTTTAATGCTACAGCAAATGCTTTCATGCGATATTCGCTCTCACCAATTGTGCGCTTTCTCACTCTCTCTCTCTTTCTTTCCCACGATATAAAACGAACTCACTCTGGTACCTCAACGGCATTTATACTTACGGGGGCATTTGTCCAGAGAGACACATTTTACCGGTAATAGCCTGTTGAGCCGAACGGTTCCTGGTGGACAAACACAATAAACCCCTTCTTGGCAATCGCTTCCTTTGCACGATATGTTATCTGGGCAAGTGTCCGGGCAATCTGGAGCACAGTCTGATGGTAATGAATCATGCTCACATTCTGTAATCGGATTAATTAATTGTGTTATATAACCAGGCACGCAAAAAACAGGCTTACAGTGTTACCACAATATTCTTGATTACCATTACGAAAAACATTTTTAGTAGCCCGGAGAAATGAAAAACTCACTTGGACAATCTTCTAGTCTTGTGCATGTTCGATTATTTTGGCTATATTGAACCATATTTGGTGGACAAACACAATGCATATTCTCATTACATTCTTTTATACAGTATCCTGGTTTTGGCGTAGCACAAGTTGCCGGACATCTTGTGGCGCATTTTTTGTAAATTTTAGGCTTTTCGCAGGAATCTGAAAATGAATGGAGATTCGATCAAAAGAATTCTTGTTTGACATCAAAACACCGGGTTGTGCTTGTGACATGAACTTACGTATTGCTGATTTGCAATCCTCTTTCTTCACACATTTTCCATCTTTATTTCTGTACATTCCACGCGCACAAATGCATTTATTTTTGCAGTGAAACGTCATTTTGAATAACCTGCTACCTAGTGCCTCGTCACAACTAGCTTCACATCTTTGGGTTTTTTCATACACGGTGTCTTTTGGACAAGCTGAAAAAAGCAGGACAAAGTTTTTTTTGAAAAGTGTTTATCCCTTATCACGCTTTAAAGTTATTGAATATATAGGTAGCTCTTCTGTATAGACTTTAAACCATAACGAATGAATGCAACCGAGTTTGACAGTCAGAGTCTCCTTTTGCCTTGAATTAGCTATTAGCCTAACCTAAATGAATATTCTGCCACCAAGTGGATTTCATCTTAAACGGCCATTGAAAGAGGAAATCGCGTTACACCAGAGCAAGGACACGGTTCGTTCATTCGTGCAGCCTTATACAGACGCAGTTTTAGCAGCTAGTCTATGAATCCGGATATGATATTCATATTTATCCCAGTGATCTTCTAGGCGCCTGGTATTAACAATAATAGAAAATAACTTTCTTACCTCTCGCCTTTTCACAATTGTATGGAAACTTCTGTATCATATCCAACGTATGCTCAATTGGAGTTCCATCGTCATACACGCACCATTTCCAATACCCATTAGTTTGTTCACTGTGGTATCTAGTAATTGATGAGCAACGAGGTATATGTTGATCATACAACAATGCCCATCGGTTGACAACGTAGCAAGGTAATCCCCATCTAATGTAGTCTGAATGCAAAAGATAAACATCAATCCACTTGCCAAACAAGTACCGATTCTATTTCGTTTAACCTTTCTTACTTTGAGGGCTGACCCAGTTATATAACGTTTTTGGACGTTTTCTTTTTTATCGAGGTCTTATATTTTCACATGTTCAGCTCAACCTATTTTTTTTTATAAATAAATATCGTTTTTGCATGTGCGGCGCAGACCAGGGTTACTGGAAAATGCGCCAGTGTTATGTGCATAAAACAAAAAATACTCATTTTTTATATCTCACTACCTTTTTTTGTGAACCAATCTTTGTCTAATAAGTTAATGATATATATATATATAAATCTCTTATATATATGAGTGTCAGTTTCTTAGGATTCTCAATGGCAAGTTACATTGACCTCTAGTGTGCGATGCGCACATTTTAACTTTTATTTTAGATGAATTAAAACAGTCTATTGTTATGGCAAATTATATTTCAACAAGAGTTTGCCTCGATGCAATGTTTTTTTATTAGTCCGCACTTTCAAAGTAAGCCTGCGATTGTGTGTTACTAGGCACATTTCTTGAACTTGGTGAATTTTAAATTTTTGGGGCCAAATCTCGAAAAACGAGAATCTAAAAATATGGGCTTGTACGCTATCTGGTATATATAATTACTATTAACTAACCCCTTGTTATACAGATTGATGATCTTCTTACTGGCTCATAACGGCCTCGCTAACTTGTTCATTTCAGATTATTCGCGTACCATCCACAATTTTAAAGCCTACATAAATTTATTGTAACTAGTTTAATATTCGTGTTTAGATATAAATCATATAAATACTTACTTACGACATAACTTCTCAATTGCCCTTCCAACCAGTCCAATTCGCTTGTGAACATGTATAGCGTATCACTTGAGTGAGTCTTTGCTAAAGTTATGCCAAGACAAAATAAAAGCAATATTTTCATTGTTGACGCCATCGTACAATCACATCGACTAATGTAAGCTGCCTGCCTAAGCTTTAAAATGAGACCAGAGCGTAGGCGGCTTACCACCCGAAGCTATATATTATTTTCATTCAGGGTATTTAAAGGCTTGGAGGCATTATTAGAACGTAGTTAGCGACTTCGTCATCTAAACCTGCAAAACAATATTGAGGATTCGAAAATAACGCAATTTGAGTTTTCTAAATATAAGTCAAGTAGATGGTTCGCGTGTACACTTGTAACCACGTAGTCAGTCTTATTCTAAATCGCTATATCGCAAACGTTTCACAGGTCTTGGACTGAACAAGTGTATGATTTTTCAAGTTTTGATATGGATGCAAGTTTCCCCAAATTAAGGTCGCAAACCCCCACTTAAGAGTGAAAAGAACGCAGGATTTAAAAACTGCCTCCATCTTACCAAAAGCATAAAAATTGAATTCGATAAAATGAATTTTTGTTAAAATTTCCACCACATAAATATCACTGAGTTGGTTCCGTAACTGTGCATGAATAAAATGTTGTCGCCATTCTAATAAATCATTCAATAACTTTTCAGATAAAAAAAAGTATGGCAGCCCCACCGAAAATAAACCGCTCCAACTGTGATATATATTTATCGGATACATTGCTCTCTTGATCTAAACTTTATTGAAGACAGATTTAATAAGGTATCCGGCATTTATTTTAGCTCTTACTCGAGCTTTGATGATTAAAAATTTCTGTCAAACATTGCTTGATTGAGATTGTATGAAAAATGTTGTAATTTATTTGGTTCTCGCTTTAGTTTCAACGATTCGTAAGTTTTTTTGATCATCTATTTTGAATGATGAACATACATATTGCCGGGGGCAAACAAATTTAGATCATATTTCTATGTCGATATCGTATTTAACTTCTGTTTCTGTTGAGCTATTTACAGTATGCCTATGAATCATTTAAATATTTGCTAAATCATCCTAATAAGTGAATTAATATTATATATTTAATTTCATAAATACATAGAATACTTGAACGAGTATAATTTCGCTTGCCCAAAAACAAACCTTTTGCAAACTTTCAAATGCTGTAAAAATTAAAAAATATTGAAATATTATTAACATTAGAAATTATTACTCAAGTACAGAAAACAATTAATTTGATAAAGTATACTAATACGTCAAAAGTATATTATTTTAAAAATTTATTGCGATCCTAGATCCAATATATAGATTTTCGATAGCCTGTCGTCAACGTAAAGCAGCATTTTCATTCGTTTAATTGACACAAAGTGCTCATATATGCTAAATTCGTGTTGGTTTTTGCGATTATCTTGTGGATCTTGTTGTTGCTGGGAAAATCGCTTTTCTCCGCATCAAATGAACCAACAGGGCCACGAGAAAGCTTTTCAAATGTCTGTACACTTTATAGACTGCGATTAAAAGTCAGAATAGATGTTACGTTGTGGAACGTATATGACGTTATTATTAAAAACAGTTTGCGTTGTAAACAATACTTGTTCATTAATCATGTTGGCAAATTAATTCGTCGTTTCTTTCGTATACGCTTATCAGCTTTTGGACACTCAGATGCTTCAATGCAAGTATAATTATGACGGTCCACTTGTATCATACCGGGCGGGCAAACACATTTTCTATTGCCGCACGATCTACCACAGATCGTTCTTTTCGGAAAAAGGCATGTCGGCTGACATGGCAATGCACACTTCTGGTATACCTTCGGTGGGATGCATCCTGTTTTAAAAAGATTTGCGCAGTTAGAACAAAAGAATCTATACAAGAAGAACATCAACATTAATATTTGATATATATATATAGGATGCCCATAAAACATTTTGAAATTGCAAAGGGAATTCATCGATACCATATATTGTTTTGGCCCTCACAGATGTATTAAATGACTGGAAAATATTTAAAAGTTGCTGATCAAAAAACCACAAACCTGGTTATTATATATTGAGAACTGACTTCATAAAAGAATTGAAATTGTAAAGTGACTTTATGAACACCCTGTATTGCCCATCCTAATTTGATTCCGTACATGTTTTAAAAATCGTTTTGCATATGCCGATGTGAAAAACATTAGCTCAACAACTCATGTTTGAATGGCCAATAGAACAGACGTTTTTGCTCGCAGAAAAGTGTCTGAGCTACTCAAACTAGCTATCATAATGCTCTAATAGTAAATTTGGTATCTTATAATCGTGTTGCTTCCATCAAAACTTTAACTCACTTGGACACTCTCCTTCCTTGACACAGGTTTGGTCTTTCATACTCATTTGGATGTAATTTTCAGGGCATCCACATATATAATCTGAGGTACACTTGTTAGAACAATGCCTGCTTTTTTCGTCACATGTTTCAGGACAAGATGTACTGCATTTTATTCGTACCTTCGGCGGCTCACATTTTTTAACTGAAATAAAAAATATATAAAGCTTTTTCAACAAGGAAATTGGAAAATCCACTTATATTGAATCTCGTTTGGCAATCAGTCTGCTTGCATTCAAAAACAAATACCTGTCTAACCAATCCCATTCCAGAGATAGATTGGTTGGGAAAGCGATTTGTAGAAAATAAATCAGGGCATAGTAAGCATTGAATATCACCCATTACTCGCGCTCACAACTCTCCCTGTCTTACCTGGACATTCAGAAGGTCTGATACAAGTACGATTACTTTCATCTATCTGCACCATTCCTTCAGGACAAACGCAATTTATCGCGCTACATCCACGTCTGCATTTCGTAATTTTTGGCCTGTCACAGGTAGGCTGGCACAAGGATGAACATGATTGGAATACTTTTGGCGAGTCACATGCACCTGAAAATTGGTATTTATGAATGACTCATAGGTGCTTATGTCGTACATATAATTAAACTTTATTTTTGTAGTATTTAACACAAAGTTACAAGTGCTCAGAAGTCGCGGAAACAAAAAGTAAATAATCAGGATTTTTTGGAATATCATTGAGAGAAACTTAGGAATCCGGCGAAATTAGATAAAACCTAACGCTTGTTTATATACAAAAAATGACAAGTGGTCAACCAATGGGTTCAAAAATCGATACTGTGTGTAGATGGGGAGTCTTGCGTGGGTGTATGAACACGATAGCATAGGGTGCATCACTTTATAGTTCATGCATTTGAAAATGAATAACTGTCTCTAATTCCAACTAATCCCATACCCGAGATGAATTGGAAGGGAAAGAGCTTCGTAGCAAATATATCAGGGCATGTATGCATCACCTATTGCTCGCGCTTACAACTCTTCCTGTCTGTCTTACCTGGACAGTCAGAAAGTCTAATGCAGGTACGATTACTTTCATCTATCTGCACCATTCCTTCAGGACAAACGCAATTCATATCGCTACATCCACGCCTGCATCCTGTAATTTTTGGTCTGTCACAGGTAGGCTGGCACATGGATGGACATGATTGGAATACTTTTGGCTTTTCACATGCACCTGAAATTGGTATTTATGAATGACTCATATGTGCTTATGTTGTCGTACATATAAATAAACTTCATTATTGACGTATTTAACATAAACTTACAAGTGCTCAGAAGTAGCGAGACAAAAAGTAAATAATCAGGATTTTTTTGGAATATGATTGAGAAAAACTTAGGAATCCGGCGAAGTTAGATAAAGCCTAACGCTTCCATATGTGCAAAAAGCTGTCACTTTGTCAACCCATGGGTACGGAAATCAATACTGTAGATTGAGAGTATTGCGTAGTTCAGCGTTTCCCAAACTTTTTTGGCTACAGAATACTTAGACTTTTTATCTCGTCCCACGGAATACCAAAAAATGAAAGTGTAGAATTGATGAAGAAAAATGGTTTAATGCAGCGGTTCCCAAAGGGTGCACCACAGCGCACTAGTGTTGCCAAATGCGCCGCGAAAACTAACAGAATTGCGTTAATCATAACTAAAATATGATTGAATATGTAACATATTGCATTCGCCATAAATGTTTTATTGTTTCTCATTTTAAATGCTGTGTATATGAATCAATAAATTCATTTTACCCTTCTATGTCGTTTACTTTCTATTATGTACTCTTTGCTTCCAATAATACGTAACAATGGAGATAGAAGTACTTGCTGCAATTTCACGAAACGCAGTTTATTTATCTGCTGAATCGAGTTTAGGGGACATGAGTTATTTTGAAGCAAGCAGTTATTTAACATGAGCATTTCAAAGTAAAACCAGGCCAGGGATGGAGAAAAAAGAGTTAGAACTTTTTTAGGCCTACATGTTTGTCCATAGCAAAATCAAAAAGATTGCAGTAAGCTTGATAATACACTTGGCAGTCAAAAAACTAGACCGACGGTTAACGAAAATGCCACTACCCCCAAAAAGTTAGTCTGCTTTAAGCGGACGGGGAGGCGATATTGAACGGTCGCCAGTTGGACGATTACTTTCGGATCCTGTGATCGCTATGGGGACCAATATAGTCGTAATTTCGATCTCTTTTTCGCGGAACAATTGGAAGCCGCTCGCGGAACACAGTTTTGGAAACGCAGGCGTAGGTGTATGAACACGATAGCGTAGAAGGCATCACTTTATAGTTACTTTATACTTTATAGTGCATTTAAAAATAAATAACTGTCTAACTCAAGGGTGTGCAACTTTTAATATAGCAGGGCCAGATACGAATAACTGAGTGAAACCGCGGACCGCACTTTCATTTAACATAGGCTTTCTAGTATTTCCAGGCACAAAAATTTTGGTTATTGATTCTATGACATGCGTTGTTCGCCTCGCATAAGCTAGTTGTTAGGGCATTGTAGCGCCATATACACAGATGTTAAAGGGATTGAATTACTCACTCGTACCAGATTAAACTAAATTAAAAATTCGTTTCGCGGCCACAAGCGATTTAAAATTGGCACTTCTCCGCGGGCTGCCTAATTTTTCTTTGTGGGCGCATTTGGCCCGCGGGTTGTACACCCCTGGTCTAGCCCTTGGATTGAAAGCAAAAGAGCTTTGTAGAATATATATTAGGATAAGCTCGATATCACCCATTACTCGCGCCCACAACTCTCCCTGTCTTACCTGGACATTCAGAAAGTCTAATGCAGGTACGATTACTTTCATCTCTCTGCACCATTCCTTCAGGACAAACGCAATTTATAGCGCTACATCCACGCCTGCATCCCGTAATTTTTGGCCTGTCACAGGTAGGCTGGCACATGGATGGACATAATTGGAATACTTTTGGCGAGTCACATGCACCTGAAAATTGGTATTTATGAATGACTCATAGGTGCTTATGTCGTACATATAATTAAACTTTATTTTTGTAGTATTTAACACAAATTTACAAGTGCTGAGAAGCCGCGGAAACTAAAAGTAAATAATTAGAACGTTTTGTTTTTTTTTGAAAATGATTGAGAGAACTTTAAGAAGCCGGCGAAATTAGATAAAACCTGGCGCTTCCATATAAACAAAAAATGTCAAGTGGTCAACCAATGGGTACAACAATCAAAACTGCAGATGAAGAGTATTGCATGGATATATGAGCCCGATAGCAGCGCATGTTAAGTTCCGGAACGGTGAGTGGAAAGTGATAATCTTTACCGACGTCTTAATTCTTCAAATACTGACAATTTGAAAGTGATTGGTCAGTTAATTGCGGCGTATGGTAATTTTTCCTCAACAATATAATCAGACCATATACAATAACAACAACAAGAATTTAGGTCTACTTCGTGTAGAATAACCAAGGCATATATACTACAATGCTACACAGAAACATACGTGGACATTTTCCTTCCCTGACACACTTTTTATTCTCCATGCTTAATTGGATGTATTCTTCTGGACAACCACAAATGTATTCTGATTTACACTTAACGGTACAAAACCAAGGTTTTTGTTCACACGTTGCTGGACACTGCCTTTCACATTTCATAGGCACTGCTGGTGATCTGCATTCTGAAAACGGTACATATATGGCTAAGACATCATAAAGTGAGTACCAAAATAGGAATATTTTTTTTAAATTGGAAAATGATATGGGGAGAATAACATGATAGATAGAAGGATTTTATAGTGGAACACAAGAACTAAAATAGGAAGTAGAAAACGCCAAAGCAATTATATTATTTTATATTGTTTGACTTGTGTCAGTTTTCTTCCGAAATGTAACACAAGAGCTTATTTTCGGAGGATGTTTTAGATTTCCATTTATCAAAAACAAAATTACAAAGTATAGAATTACGAGATTTTCAAATATAAAAAATATGAATACTGATATTCATTTACTTATAAATAACACGTTTTTATTCCAAATAACCGCAAAACATAGATTATCAATCTTTTAAAACGTGTAGGAGTAAATTCTTGCTATGAACTGGGCCAAAAAAAAATTCGCGTAATTACAGTCTTATTTTAGGGGAGGGCTTATATTAAAATCATTTTTAAAAATCAGATTAGGTCTTATTTTTGTGGAAACATGGTAAGTCCGACAACACTTACGCAAATTTACTGGACAGTCTTCTATTCTGACACAGGTTTTATCTTTTTTACTTCGTTGAAGGTAGCCCTCTGGACAAGAGCATATATTCTCTGGGGTACATTTTGCTTCGCAGTTGGGATCCGGATCTTCGCAAGTTGCGGGACAGGCAGTCCCGCAGCCTATTGGAACTCTCGGATAGTTGCATAACGCTGATAATAGAGAAATTTCAATAGTTAGGCCGATAGTTTAATATGTATAACCTCTAATTGTATTCACGGTTGTCGTTAATATAGGAAGATTTTATAATGCACACGAGTTATCACTAGCGACTCTGTTTTAATAGATTTTATGTACATTCGTCCGACAGGACATGAACCAGAACGGTGGGTAATAAAAATCAGACAGAATGTCCCAAATACTTCGGTAAAAAAAACATCCGCAGGGAAGTAGTTGTCGGCATCAAGCAAAGCGCTTGCACTATAAGAAAATCAGAGAAAAGCTGAATGGAGTTTCTTACGTACGAGGGCATTGATCCAAAGTCACACATATAACCGGTAGTTGTCTGTTCAGCCGTACAGTACCAGGAGGGCATATGCAGGAAACTCCTTTTTGGCAGCCTCTTCGTTTGCATATCGTGTCATCTGGACATGTTTCGGGACAAACCGGTGCACAGTCAGTCGGTACAGAATTGTAATTGCATTCTGTTTGAGAAAAGTTACTTCTAAAATATGTATCATGTAGCATTATAATGATTTATAAAAATGAAAGTTTTATATTATTGCAAAAATCATTTTTTAGTATTTCAGTTAACATTCAGAAATTAATTCAATCGTATTAAAAAATTGATTACTGCTTGGAGATTTGTCTATTTTTTGCACATACCAAAAAAAAAAAATTCTAGTAAAAAATGGCTTACTTGGACAGTCTTCCAACTTTACGCACGTATTGTAACCAACGCTATATTGAACCATATTTGGTGGACAAATACATTGTTTCTTTTCAATCATTTCGCATTGTGGCGGTTTTGGAGTTGCACACGTCGCCGGACATTTAGATGCACTCCCATAAACCTTCGGTGGCTCACAACCATCTATAATAATAAAAGCAAAATGAATGTTGATATTGATGTGCTTCATGCATACGGAACAATAACAGTTCGGTAGCCTATTTTCCTTTTATGACTGCGTTCACTATTTTTAAGCCAATCATTTTGAATATGAAATTATCTATATAATATATAAAAAAAAATCTTTCCAATTTAAAATATGGCTTACTAAAGTCCAAATTTTCACGACAGACTTTAGTAGGGCTTTGATAAGGTATCTCTTTGTAAGTAAGACTACAGATAAATAATTTAATGTTTCTCGACTTACCTGCTGTCCATTTGCATTGTGACTTTTCTACGCATACTCCATCTTTATTTTTATACATACGTTTTGGACAAATGCACTTATTTCTGCAGGTATACGAAATTTTTATATTTTTGACGTACAATGCGTCTAAGCATGAGGTTTCACACCGGTTTGTTGTCTCAAATACGGTACCTTCGGAACAAACTAAACGAAGGGTAAAAATAAGTATATATATATATATATACGAAGAAACAGATTATGGCGTATAGCATATATAGAGATATCAGGCACAAAAAGGCGCTCCAGAAGTATGTGTACCAACATGGAGGTAACTAATTTTGTTCGCCTATTTCACGTCGAGTTATGTAAAAGGACTGAAACCTATAGGCAGGGAGTTATTCCCTTGGCTAACACAGACAGTCCCTGACTCGTGATAGAACTAAAATAAGGAAAATCTTGATAAAATTATGGCCTAACGAATCCAACGAACCCAGCCTGGTACACATAAAACGGGGGTACTTAAAAAATCGTAAAAAGTAAGTCTTACAAAAAAAGTATCGAAAATTCATAAATAGTACACTCACGTCGTGATTTTTTGCAGTCAACATAAAATCGGAATTTGAGTTCCGACGTGTGTAAAATAGGACTTCCGTCTTTATAAACGCACCATTTTAGAGCTTGGTTAGATTGTTCTTCAAAGAAACTAGATTTTGATGAGCATTTAGGTACAGTTCGCCCCGTCGTTCGCGCCCATTCCTGAGCGATGTAACATAGCGCTTTTGGGTCGCTTGAAGCTGAATAGAAATGTTCATATTTATGTGTTGTGAATTGGTATGGGGATCCACAGGAAAGTGCACGACAGCAATACTTATATATATATATATATACAGGATGGCCCAATAAACGGAACCCATATGTTCAACATGAAGCACAATTTCTATGTTTCCATGTCGAAGAAGTGGATATTGATTAGGCTCTAGGCGTGTTTTGAGGTCATTCTGTATATACTATATAATATAAGAGGATATTGTTTCGAGCAACTCCCGATGGCGGAATTTGTTTGGAGGCTGGGAATTTCGAATTGATTGCCATATTATTCAAATCGGTTCAGCCGAAATTTTGAATCGCCGACATCTTGTTTTTTCTTGTCCGCAAAAGGTCGAGATGATTCGCTCAAATATTTTTATTGAAGCCATATTTCTAATGCAATTTTGACATATGACTCTTTTCTTCTAAGTGAGTTATATGTTTCTTATTGTGTGTGACAAACTGACAACTTGGTTATGATAGTTATTTCGTATATTCTTCACTTAAATTTGAACAATGCACGGTTTATTAGAATACTATACTCTATTTACCTTGTATTATTGAATCTGGAACCAGCCAGGTGTCAATGATTAGAATTCCATTAGTAAGATCGAGTATACAAAGATAGCTCGGAATTATCAATAAAAATAACAAATTCATCACAATAATATATGCTACATAAAATTAGTAATATTTCAAAACATTAATAACAAGAGAGCAATGCTCGAGTATATGGAAATGAAAGTCTAGAATCGATACCGGTAAGTCTTCTGAAGAGAGACGAGTTGCGAGTATTAGGATACGCGTGCTTTTTACCATTTGTTATATATATATATTCATTGATAAAGAGCAAATATTTCCTATTTAGTGTATTTGCCATCAAATCGAAAAATGGTATCTAACTCCGAAATCCGAATCGGTACAGCCTAATGTGAAAGCAGCGTCGGTACACGTAAATTGGTTCTTCAGTAGGCTAACACCCATTTACGGGGATTGCGATACAAATTTAAAACAGTAGAACTATAGTAGGACGAATTATTTTGTAGGACGAGCATTGAATGTTACAGTTGAACACAATTGACAGCTAAATTATCGTGTGGTTTTCCGAATATCACGCGATCTACATCTTTGCTGAGGCAAGAGACGTTGCACATGTGGCGATTGTTTTCAGGCATTACGACTTATAATTTTAAGCTACAAGTTTTGCTGAACTTAATCGTTAAATTTAGTTATTCCCTCTCAAGACTGAAACTTGATGCTTATTGCTTTCAATGATACATTTACCTATGCAAACAAAAATAATCAATTCCTTATTTAACCTTCACAACTGCAAATTTGTGACTGCACTCCGTCGAAGCCACGCTTCGTGCTTGCAGTTCCTGTTGCTCCGGATTTCGGCACTTATTTCCTACCAAATTCTGTTTGCCTCAATGAAAGATATAAAATTAACCCAATACCTAATATTAGATACGTAAGAACAGAAATTTCAATAATTTTGTTCAAGTCAATACATCACAAAAGTTGTTTTTCCCCTGGAGCTATGAAATGTTTTAACCGTGACTTTGTGCATAGGATTATCGATGAATTATCTCGATAAGTATGTATGTAAGTCACTCAATTCAATGTTAGTTGTAGATGGATCACCAATTTTTTCCCTCTGGATGGTGTAAATGCCATGAGGCTTCAACCAGACTTCTTAACTTTTCGTATCGACATCAAGTTATACTTCTAGTTCTTTCTCAACATCTGACCTTTGAACTGCGGAATAGTGCAGTTTAGCGTCTCGGTCGATGTGGAAAGCAGGGTACCGTACATAAAAAAGACCAACAAAAATGATTCGCGTATTTCGAAAACTTGTGTCGCGTGGATCAGTGACTTCTCGCTCAGAGCAAATGATTAACATACACCGTGGCAAACTTTATATATATTCTATATTTTACCCAGTTTTGTGTACATCCGCTAAAACCAAATCGAGACACGGGTTATCACGACCATCATCAATCGAGTCACGAGTCCCAAAGCAAGCCTATCTAGTCTAGCGGCTAGCAAAGTCGGAAAGTCCAAAATATCATTTTTTTTCTTTGCGCTATATTGATGAGCAATTCCACCATAAATATAATTTCATAGAAAACGATATTGTGCTCCGAAAAAAATGAAACAGGCAAACCAAAATCAAATTTCAGCACTAATACCCCACTCGACGACTATCGGCGTAAATAACCAGAACTTCCCGCCCAAATGAGTTTATAATTTGAACTGCGACCCAATGAATGAAAACTGTATTCTTTTTGTGTATATTTTTTGTTAATTTTTGACTTGTTTCAAATCTTTCGCGACTTCCTTTTGATTGTGCCGAAATCCCGTATTCTAATGTAGCCTATATTAATTAGTGTTTGAATAATATGAGAATTTTTGCATGACGAAAAAAAATTATTGTCTATACCCCTATCTGAAATAAGTAACCCTAATTATTTTCTGCACTAAGTGGAAGACGTGGATTTCGAAAAATAAAAAAACGCCATAAACAAAAAAATAAATTTAATATATATACGTATAAATAAGTTTTAGGCAAAATAACTTGTATTGCATTGTAAGCGTTGCTTGCTTGAAAAATTCAAAAAAAAATAGCAAAACGACACGTTTTCAGGGTAAGAATAAAATATCTGGATCTAAAATAATACTTCTAACTTTATTTTTACAGTTTACTTATTTCATAGTGCAAACTATATTATGCTTGGCATTGCTCTGCAAATTAATAGTGTCCAGGGTGTTACTGTAGTAAAGTATAAAATAGGAGGTCATTCAGTATTGAACTAAAGATTCTTTTTCCTTGTTAAAGTTCCAAAAACAAATAGCAAAACCACTCGTTTTTCATGGTAGAAATAGAAGATCTAAAATAATGTTAGAAATTTTATTCTCACACATTTTACCTATTTTATAGTACAAACGATATAATGCTTGGCATGGCTTTGCAAAATAATGTTCAGGATTTTATTGTAAATTGTAAAGTATAAAATGGAAGGTTATTGTGTATTGAACTATAGGTCCTTTCATCTGTTCACTTCTCACTTCGGGTCGGTATGTGGCTTATTTGAAGTATATATATAGTAATACAGTGATAAATAAGAATAACGAATTTTCTTTTCACGAAAAAGCAAGTATATATTCGTTGTTTGATTAAGTTATAACTTGTTTTATCTGAAGAAGTTGGACTATGATCGAACGAAAGCTCACAATATTATTACTATTGAACGTGGAAAGAAAATATGTTACTTTTCAACCGCAGTAAATCACGAAAGTCTAAACATGTTTTATAATAATAAGATGGCAACAAGACGTTTTATTTGCAGTTAATGTGAAATATACAAAAAATAACAATTTAATTAATATATTAATAATATACAGAAACATGCATTAGATTCCTAATGTTGCATCAAAGACGCAAGATGACGGAAAAAAACTTGGTGGATTCTTGGAAGAATCATCGTTAGATGCATGAAATGCATCTTCCTTTGCAGCATTGGTGGCACAATCTTGTTGACGATAGGCGATCCCTGGTGTGAAAGGTGGCGCGTGTACATGAGATGAATTGACTTGAGTTATACTCGTAATGCGTGCGTCACCACAAGCGTTTTGCACGCATTGTGGCCTGACCAGGCAAATGCGCTGCGAATTTACAACTGGAACTGGAGGTACAAAACTGTTTTGTAAGCGACTGCGGAACGACATCGAAGCGTAATTTTGATGAATTGTTCCGGTTGCCGTTGGTACTGGAAGAGCTGATATACCGAAAGGACGTACCGGCTTTGGTGCACTTTGTCGTACAATCGGTGCAATTGGTGCGTTTTGTTCTTCGTCGCATATTCTTAAAATACGCTTGATGTGACTTGCTGCAATTTCATTCGAGCTTAAGACCCCAGAGGAAGAAGTACTTGGCGTTGGGTATTGAACATGCCAGGGAGAAGTGCTAGGTATCATAGGGCCAGGAAGTTTCTTTTGAGTAGCCCAACTGTCCTGATTATCTGATTTAGTTATGGCTTTAAACCAGGCTTCTCCGTAGGGTTGATATGTCGTTGGAAACTGGGAGTTTAGATTCTGTCGAACTTGAGGGCATTGAGCGGTTTTTGTGGGCCGATGAGCTCGAAATGGAATATACGGTGGTGGAGGAGGCTCAGGTTTAGGCGTTGTCGCCATTGTGGGCCCTGCTATCATTCCGCCTTGGAACGTGAAGTCGAATGCATTGCTGGGCGTTTTTTTAGCTTCAAACATTAGACTGTTGTTTTGTGCTCCCCCGAAACTATTATTGAAACAGGGTATACAGTTCAGTATGTTATTTTCAGGCTTACCAACAAAGTCCGGCTTACTGACAAGATCAGTCATCTTATATTGTTGCTCAAAATCATTGTTGTCTCTCAAAATAATTGTGTTGTCGTATGTATCACTCACATTTACGATTTTTTCTGATAACTTGCTTTCGTTAGTTACATCAGGCGAGAGGTCCCTCAAGTCCAAAGGTGGTACAATAGTGCTTAAACCATCCGTGGTAGTCTTTGGGTTAATGTTTGGAGACTCTTGTTTGATATCTTCTTGGGAAATCGGTTCTGAATCAGTGAAAAAGGAAAATTTGGTTTCTGTCAAAACATCTGTGGATTGAGGAATGGTATCGGTGTGGGTTTTACCGGCTTCGTTCTTATTTGTGTCAGCCAATTTGGTTTTCGGTTGTTTGGTTTTGACGTTTTTGTTTGTTACGGTGTTGTCCGAAATTTTATCGTGGGTCTGAAGATTTTTTTCTTGGGATGAATTTTCAATATCATTGGGTGTAGATCTCGGCCAAGTTTTGAAACGAGATACCGCACATTTACTTGAATAATTATGTGTCGTCTTCCGCGAATCTTTTCGTTTTTCAACGCGATTTTTCGAAAACCTAGGAGATTTTTCGCTGTGACGTCGCAGGTTTCTGCCATCGCTGGAGCATGTTTGACTAACACTGACTGTAAGTGTGGGATTTTCTGGCGAAGATGACGTAGTAGTCACGGTTGGATGCATTTTATCAGAGCAAGCTGGTACCTGAGCTTCTTCTTTCAGTGTAAATCTAAGGGATTTAACGTTATTTTCTTTATTTTTGTTCGATTTCTTTTTGTCTGAAGTTAAAGGAACAACCTCTTCAACGATGTTGCTAAAACGTTTCGGATCAATTTCACCCACATCATAAGCTAACTGCAGCCTTCTAGCTAGTTCCCAATCAGCTTTCGCCCCTCTATTCTTTCTCCACGGACATTTACAGCTAGCTACTCGTTCAATATATTTCACTTTCCATCTCGGATCATCAATTCGTAACTGATTTGGAACTTCCACTTTTTTTCCATTTTCGACAACTTTGAATAATTTTCTCTCCAAAGTATTAGAAGACACAGATACGGTATCGGCTTCTTCGTCGCTCACGTAAGCGTGATTAATTTGTCCGTGTAACGTTGACATGTCTTGGGCGGTGATAGTTTTTTGATCTTTTCCGTCGATTAAAAAATTGATTTCCTCTTCTTTAACTACGCCAATTTTTGCATCCATAGAAGATTCGTCGATTGCACTTATTACAGAAAGTAAGACATGCTCGTTTTCTAGGTCTTCCTCCTCTGGATTTGATCCCACGCTCCCTGCCTCGTATAAAGCATTCTCGTTATCCTCCTGTTTTTCAAATAATGATACAAGTCCTATTTTCCGAATTTCCTCAAAATTCATTCCTTCCTCTGTGGTGGAATCGGATAAAGAATCAACACCTTCGTTCCCGTCAATCCATTCTAAACCATCGTGAACTGAACCTTCTTTAGAGCTCGAACACTCTTCTGATTCCTATAATTGTAAATCAACAATATTAGCCACATATCGATATAAAAATGTCATTCACTACACATAAAAGAAAGTTTTTAATTTAACCTTTGACTCCTCCTTCACGTGTATTATCGTGATCGAGATAAGAGATAGTACGGAATGACGGGAACAATTATCTTAGGCGATAAAACTATAAATCTTTTTCAGTAGGTCATGGGATATGACCCTATATGGACATCAGAAACGCCTCCCATATAACATAGTCTATAATAAGCTTGGACAAATGGAATTATGAATAAACAAAATAGCGGGTCAGAACTCAAATTATACTTTAACTATCAGGTATATTGTGACATAACAATCACATTCTACTTAAATATAAATATAAAAAGTATATAAAAAAAATTCTGGCATTTCTTGCCAGCTATAATATTAGATTATTTATAAGCGCTTGTAACACTACTTATATTTTAGAGTATAAATTTCACAAGAGTATCAATTTCATGTTCACTTTATCTCATATTAAACATCTAGTATAGGGTTCTACACTGGGTGCAACGCATAGTAAATATAAACCAACTAACCGATGCTGTTTCCCCTGGTGAGTTCGCGAGAAATTCACAACTTTTCATAATTTCTTCAACGCTCTTCCATACTCTCTCTTCGTCAAGAATTTCAATCGGACAACGAGAATAGAATTCGGCAAGTTTTGCTACAGCCGGATTGTTTTTTAAACATGGTTCGATGGAGAGTCGATTTAATTCGAGTTTCAACCACTCCTTTACAAAATTCCATAAAATATCCAGCTGAAATATTAGAAGAACTTTGAGCATAGGTTTCTGAGCATGTGAAATTTTTATATGAATATGAAAGTTATTATTCAAAAAGTTTTGCAATAAAAAGTACGACGTTACCTTTTTATCATGCAAGCGTGCCAACTTCTTACGTCGTCTTTCACACCTTAGTCGAAGTACAGTTTCTTGTCTGTTGTCATCGATTTTAGCGGGACACTTGAAACTGTTTACATCTGAATAACATTATATGGTATGATCTTAACCCGTTTAAGCTATGTCTTAAGGCTAGGGTTGCCAACTTTGTGTTAAACCATTCCGGGACACCTTAATGTCTAGAATTTGAAAATTGATGCAACAGAAGCTTGTGAAACATGGAGCACGTCAAAAGCAGCAGTGCGCGCTGCGCGTAGTGCAGAGTTATTTCACAAACTGTAAATAATTTTATCATAATCAAAGAAACTTGTGAAATGTTGACTCTTTGATGCATAAGCGCAAAAAAAACTAAAACAAGGAAAATGTACAAATTGTGTTAAGTAGTTTTAAATATTTAACAAAGAACACAAGAAAATCAGTCTTTCTGGTATTTATATTTGTATTATTATTGTGATTTTGCCGCTTTAAGAAGATCTTTGTTAGTTTTCATAAAGTCCATGTTAAAATTTGTGGGCTCTACGGAAATAAAATAATTGATGACCTCTCGCTAAGACAAGAGCCGTCAGCGAATAGTTTTAAAACAGACGGCTATGCAAGCCTGAAAACTGACTGAATAATGAAATCCTGCTCATAAAAGAGCCTCACACAAAGTGTAAAGATTGCTTATAGACAGGTATCAATTCCACGTAAGCGCTCTAACAGCTATTTTACCAACTACTGTATTGTCTGTATATAGTTTTGTCCTTAACGCTGTAGATGTCAGTCACTGTATTTTGAGTGTAATATTATCAGGCTTCCCTGAAACACGCTTTCCACGGGTTACACTAGAAATCTCGAGTATGCCAAGAAATAGATTCTTCATTTTAATTTGTGTGTAGTCTATAACCCAGGATAAATATGTAGTTAAATCCTAACGTTATATCCTCAGCACTCTTTAAAAACTACGTCATTCGTACTCAGTTGTATCATAAACTAGAAATGATCAAAAATAATAGGAAAACTGTGAGAGATGTCGTTTAATGCTAATTAGGAATTTTACCTTTAACATTACTGTCATCTTCTTCGTTAATTCTGTCCTCAGAAACATTTTTCTCGCGCTCAGCAGCGATACGTTTTAGCGCACATTCTTCACTTTTCATCAGAACTTTTAGTTTCGCCTCTTCTTTTCTAATTGGCTCTATTTTCCAGTGGAACTTCAGGTCGTTGCAGGAGAGCCCACAAAGATCCATCTTTGGCCAGTGTGATACAATTTAGAAAATGAAACCAAATTCAATAAAATCAATTCAAACGTTTCATTTTTTCGTCACAATGGCAATATTGCAGGTGGATAATTGTTACATCACAAATTTACATCACTCTTATTCCTTCGATGGATGTTTCCCTCGGAAAATGTCGCCCTATACTCAACTATTCCGAAAATTTGATAAAACCAAGCTAAACATATTTAGCGTAAATAAGATTAATTTTATAATTGGCTGGTAAGAGAGAAGTGTCGATAAAATGCTTTAAAACATGAAGCGAACAACGTCCTCTCATAAAGTCACTGGTCCTTATGAATCGCAAAAACAACTTGTTTGCTAACGCTCGTTGTACTACTGAAATCAATCTGAAGAATCCCTCAATGGATGCGGAGATGTTATTTCAATTTTAATCGGAATAAATATTAATATTCTCTTCTAGCGATATCGAAAGGGGAAAATGCATTTCTCACCTTCTTGGACCTTATATAACGATTGACGTAGGGTCGTAGACAACGTGTGTTTGGCTGTATATCGGTTTACATTTTCTTCATGCTAGATAAGATAAAAAAAACTTGGAAAATGGCCAAACTGGCAACGATAAAAGAGAGTAACGAAATGTAAATAGATTTCTACAAGAAATTACCATCTCCATCAGCTTACATTGTATCCGGATCCTGAGTTCTCTAGAAATTGTCGTAACACCAGCGTGTTGCGGCATTTTTCGCCAAATCCAGCAAAATTTGTTGTAAAATATTATGTCCATGGGAATCTCAGCAGAAAATTGAAAACATATATACGTGTTTAATTTTTTAGTATAGCAAAAACAACAACAAAAATTTAGCAAAGCGATACGCAGGTCCACTTTATGTCCATCAATGTCAGTTTTGATAAATTTTAATCCCCCAAGGGAGGAAGTTTCTTCTCAATAGTCATCAAAAACCTTCGTTTCGTCGGAAAAGAATAGATGATGGCTTACAAAACACCCACAAACTATTAATTCTCCAATTGATGTTGAATTAAAAAACTTTTCACCGTGAGCATTCACATCCAGCAGAGGGCACCATGTAACAGATTCGTAGAATGAGTTTTTTGCATGTTTTGATTGACGCCTTGGAGATCAAATCAAAGATAAACCTTGGTCTGTGGAAAATTTCGAATTTCCAAATCAGGATTAAGCGGGCTCCATTTTGTGAAAGTGTCGACAGGAATGATTGCGCCAGTCTGGAATAAATGGTTGGTATATGAAGGAAAATAAATAAATAATATAATACAATTAGGACACAGATGTAGCGGACCGATTTATATATTAGTCTGTCGTAATTGCTTATGATGATCAACATATTAATCCATTGAAATTCACTGGATTATTCTATCTTTACTTTGAGGTCAATCTGAAGCGCGGCCCACAATGTCTTCAAGTACCCAGCCTCAGCAAATTGCTTATGAACGTCATCCCCAATTTGTTGCAATTCGTCTTCATTTCTTACAATGCCATATATACAATGAGTGGAAATTTCCAAATATTTGCTCATTAATCCATTGTGACCTGCATTTTTTACGTCGTCCAGCTAAATGGTTCGTTGCATATGGAGAAAGCATATCGTTCGCTGCAAAAATCCTTTGCTTCGGCCGCGCCTGGTGCGAAATTGGCCGTATTGAGGCTTTTAATTTTTCGATTCGTGTTCGGTTTTGGGTTTCGAATTATGGTACGTTGAAAGCATACTAACTATAAGCATATGCTTATTGGGAATGCATATCTATTAGGCAGAAAACGTAGCTATAGCACAGAATATGAAGTCAAGTGAGGTTATTTCTAATTATAGCATGGGATTCAGGTACATATTTATCCAGGGGAAAGCAATGGCGATAAGAAGGCCTAAATGTATGGCGAACCACGGGTTCTCACAATCATAGTTTATAAGGTGCTCCATACGAATCCACAGGACTCCCCTATTTTAAATTACTTTGTCAGTCTGGGATATCTTGACATTAAAAACGAAGACAAAAATTCGAAGAATAGCAGGAAATCGGCTTTCCTCTCCACCTGGGTAAATATGTTAACCCCATCCTATATCAATGAATACAATGCCCCACGTCCCCCTTTACATGGGTCGCATTCCGTTTGAGAAACTTTTTTATGCGAAACTTCTTCCACGAAAAAGCAGCACCGTCGTTTTACGGTCGCGCATTATGGTTTCGTCAAAACGATATTATTCTGTGTATTATCACTGCAGCGCAATTAACACCGTCAGACTTTTTTTTTATCTTTACGACATTTTATCTTTTTTAGTTAATTGGCGCTAATAATGATAAATAGGAATGCGTGATTGTTATTCAGTAACGCGCATATAACCGTCGTTTAGGGCGTTCAAAATGAAAGAAGGGTTATAAGCTAATTTAAGGACATTCTCTTTTATTTTAATACAAATACAGGGCGCGCCATAAAAGCAAAATAGAATTTATTAAGATAAATTTACAACGAGTTCCGTAAAATTTACCGACGGCTATCGCCAACAGGCAGAAACGATAAATGTGAGAATTTTTTGTTTTGTTTCATTTTTGCGCCATTATATTTTTCAATTTCTAATTTTGCGTAAATCGCGTCAACATCGTTTTTGTAAATTTAGAAACGTTGAATCAGATAAGCAAGACATGTGAATAAGGTATTCTATGCAAATTTCCCGAGATATTGTGAAGAAATAATATTTTGACCACGTAGAAATGTCATTATTACTGATTTATTCACGTGTTAGGTATCAGTGTTTGAAACCAAAGCTGAGTTACGTGAATACTAAACAATTTGCGGAGTTTTCTAATTATTATTTAATACGAAAGTAACACGGAAACGATATAAAATTAAAACATAAAAATGTCAACTATCAGCTTCACAAATATCGCATCCCAGGGTCAGTAAGGATAATATTGTTCGCTCAAAATTGGGACCGTAACTGTGATACAAATCCTACACAGAAGATAAAAATCAAAATAAAATTAATTTTTGGGTGCTCCCGAAGTATGCGAACCAAGATGGCGGACATCGGAACGTAACATGGGTAACAGGTTAGGGTCAGGCGATAATTATTTTCCATTTTTCCTTATTTTAGTCCTATTATCAGTTCGAAGACTAGCCAAGAGCCTCCCGTAGTACTTATACCTAAAATTATGGCCTAACCCTAACCTAGTACACATATTACATTCCGATGTCCGCCATCTTGTTTCGCATACTTCGGGAGCCCCAATTTTTGTTGTGAATGCATTCCTTAATAGTTGTCTTTAACATCTTCGCCGATATTCGTTAAAATATTCGAATAATTTCATATAAAAAAATACGATTTTTTATACGAAAAAAATACGCCCACCACTAATCACGACGCATGTAAATAATCATTGAATGACAATAAATAATCAACTTTATTAGCAATAAATCCCAAGTAAAAGTTCCACATTTGATGCATTCGATCGGCGCTACATGCGAGCGTGTTTTTGTATATATTCACCAAAACCGTCAGATGCGAGCTACACGTAACTGTGGAATTTCGCTGTGAACGACGCATTGTTTTTAATTTATTACCCGCCTTACGCCGTCATGAATTGAACTTTTGGTGCACTGTTTTAAAACCACCGTAATTCCCCCCCCCCCCCCCCCCCTCTCCCGTTGGAAGAATCCTGGCTGCGCCCCTTGTCCAAGTTCTATAGCTCACTATTAATTACAAATATATAATTGCATCCAAATCAACAGTATCTATATATATGACTATATGAAGGATCGTTAAAATTAAATAATATATATGCAAAAATCATAATTGATAACAAAATAAAAAAAAATTTTTGTAAATTCACAAGACATGAAAACGGCAAATTTTAAATTTCAATGGCAAGATATCCCAGAGTAATTTAAAGTTAAAATCAGTATTTTTAATAAGTAAACGAATAGCTTACAAAGTCCTAGCAGTCTGGGGGTTCATATGGAGCACAGAGCTATTTGGAGAGGCCGTGGTTCGCATATATATCCAGGCTTTCCTCTCTCCTTGGATAAATATGTAAGTCCTATGTTATATCAATGAATAAATACCGCAATAACCGCACCCCACGTGGCTACTGATTCATATTCTGTTCTGTAGCTACGTTTTATGCCTAATAGATATGCATTCCTAATATGCATATGCTCCTAGTTAGTATGCTTTCAGCGTACCATACTTCGAAACCCAAAACCGAACACGAATCAAAAAATTAAAAGCCTCAATGCGGCCAATTTCGCACCCATCCCAGCTGAAACAAGGGATTTTTGCAGCGAACGATATGCTCTCTCCATATGCAACGAACCATTTAGCTGGACGACGTAAAAATGCAGGGTACATTGGATTATTGAGCAAATATTTGGAAGTTTCCACTCATTGTATATATGCTCATTGTTCAGCCTTGGCAAATTTAACAGTCTGTCAAATGTAACAGTCTTCCTACACACACAGGGCTGAAATACAATAAATAGTATATAGAGGCATTAAATGGTTGCAACCAGACATAGATCATTTTATTCGACTTCCAGTTGGCTTGCTATATGAACGAAATGAAATTTGTGATTAAAACACTTTTGTCCTAAAAGGCTGTGATAAGAGCAAAAGATATTTGTTGGTCCTAGAGATCTGATCCATTCAGAAATGCGGTTATTTTGGGAATATTTACCTCACTCGTCTATCTATAATGGCACATTTTACGATAAATCACAAGCTAGTTGTTTAGAATTGAGTTTCTGCAGAATGTAGATCACACACTTCACCGGCATGTGGCATCATTGTAATTTTAAGACACGAATTGCTCGTTATGAAGTATTAATTGCGCATATCATGCAAATTCAAAAATAAAAAATTCATGACTTCTTTGTTAAAAACAAAAATTTATTTTAAATATCAACATCACGTACGCGACCAACCTTACCAATTAGCGTCTTATACGCGCGTCACAGGTTTAGCATTTTCAAGTTATTATTTGAAACTTATCAAGCACATTTACTTTCGCTTTTGAGCAGTTATTATAAATTTCTTTCTATTTAATTCTGTTTCCAAACATAACTAATAGTTTTTCTAGAAAAAAACGGATTGAATAAGAAATACGGCCGATTTGTCGATAATCGAATAATTTTCTTTAGCTTACCGAAAACTGACGACATTTCTAAAACAGGAGATTTTTCCATGACGCACTGACTTGTTTTTTTTATCAGTCTAAGTAAATTGCACTCAAAATATGATTCATTTCAAAAATGCCGATATCGAGCTATATACCGTGTTTCCCCGAAAATAAGACTGGGCCTTAGTTCAATTTTTTTCCGAAAAATAACACTAGGGCTTATTTTCGGGGGGATATTTTCATTTAACAAAAACAAAATTACAAAGTAGAGAATTACGAGATTTTCAAGTATATATACAAAATATGAAAACCGATTTCATTTACTTATAAACAACACGTTTTTATTCAAATTGACTGCAAAACATAAATTACCAATCATTTAAAACGTCTAGGGGAGATTTCTTGCTATCGACTAGGTCAAAAATAAATTCGCGTTATTGACTAGGTATTATTTTAAAGGGAGGGCATATATATATTAAAATCATTTTTAAAAATCCAGGCTAGGTATTATTTTCGGGGAATCACGGTACTTACTCTCGTAGTGTGTGTACCAGGTAAGGATTAGGCCATAATTTCATTCCGATTTTCCTTATTTTAGTTCTGTTACGAGTTCGTGGACTGTCTGTGTTAGCCAAATGAATATACCCCCTGCCCATAGGCTTCTGTCCCTTTTACACAACTTTATGTAAAGTAGGCGAACAAAATTAGTTATCTCCATATTGGTACACACACTTCTGAGCGCCAAATATTTTGCTCGATAAAGATAAAAGTTAAAATGTTCATAAAATGTATGAATAAATTCTTCATTTACATTGTATTAATCGATCATAAGCATTTATAAAGAAGAGGTAACATTTTGTAACCTGATGATAACATCATCAAACTTCTTCCATCTTCTTGTAAATTGCTCATACTGCAGTTTTGATTCCATTGTCCTATTTTTTAAGATCTCCATCTTGTATTCCAATTTAGAAGTCTCCACTCCAAAGCTGTCCCAGTGGTATTTGCTAACTTAACAGAAAGAATGGGTGAACATTATTACTCAAATGATTCAGACAAGTATTGAACTGTGTCAAAGGATTTAGTTTCGGGATATTAAAAATGTGTAAGTTGCGTAGATTCATTTTACGAGTTTCTGAATTAAACTTATAAGGGAAACTATCCATTGGGAATATTTAACACTCACATTATTAATATATAGATATCAACTCACCTAGATATATGCCCAGTCCTAATGAGATAGCTATTGCAAGGCCTACCAAAAATAACAAATATGACAGGGCGTCGAACCTCACTGTTGAAAACAAATAGATATATATACAATAAAAAAAACAAGAGAGCAATGCTCAAATGTATCGATACAAAGGTTACATGACTAATATGGCCAGTCAAGCTTTAAAAGAAATATAACATGAAAGTGTTTCCGTGTATTTTGAAAACTAGCAAAATCGAAGGCTGAATATAGTGAACTTGGGAATCTAAAAATATTGAAAAGAGTAAAGGTAATAGTCCTATTTTATCTATAAGAACTGAAATTTCGCAATTCATTGGTCCACTACCTGACGAGAAACAACAACAACCTCAACAAAATCTTTCCATGCTACACAAAACAATGCAGAAATATTTAAACACAATTCTTTTGTCTCCCGTGTGTCGCCAGCAAAACTTGGATTTGTACGCACGTTGTCAATTTAGCCCATCTATATTCTATACAATTATCAGATTAAAAAAAACTCACGAAAATTTTTGGCAAATTTGTGTTGTTTTGCAAAATTTGATTGCACTTCGATTTTTTGGTTTTCCGCAGCATTGGCGAGTGCTTCCAGTTCTTGATTTTGCTTTGCAATGAAAGATTCCAGCAGATTTTTTATGTCTTCGAAATCAGAAGATATTTTCAAATCATCTAAAAAAATTGTACTAAGAAGTGGCGCCGAATAGCACCAACAATTTTTTTAATAATATTATAAAACCTTTTTCTTCAGTTGGCATATTTTCATTAGCCCCCATATCGTTATCAGCATCATCAGTCATTCTTATTGAACTGCAACACAGCAAAACAAATGCAATGTGCTTTCAATCGCAAATGTTATCAAATCGGAATGCTTTCCAGTGACTGGCCTTTTTACGTCAAACGTCAATTTTTCAAACCTCAAATCATTTTTAGGTATATTTATTTTCGTCGGATGTTACTACTTTCGTCTTCGCTCAAATTTGAAGGCTAATGCTGATTAAAATCGTATATATGCAAAGATCGTATCTAATGTTGTACGATACTATTAGTTACGCAATTACCGAGTCCGGTGGACCAATTTTATGATTCCGTCCCGATACTTATAATTTATATATACAACAGTATACAGTTTTGCGTTAACTAACACCGAAAATTTTTCAGTTTTGACTACAAAATTTCGATACCGGTGTTTACTATTATTTGCAATTTTACTAATTTGTCATCAGCGCATTTTTTACCGACTATAAGGCGCACCGTAATTATTGATTAAATTGGGGTTTTGTCCACACATTCGGCTATACGACGCAAACGGCACTGGTTTTTAGTGTAGGAAGTGAAGCACCACCGTACCGGCTAATGGAGCGCGCGATCCATTTTTTTTTTATGGGATTCAAAGTGCGCGTTGTGGTCAGTGAAATACAGTAGGCTTTGGGTGTAGGAAATGAAGCACTGTCAAAGCCATACATTGAGGCGCACTGGCTAATAAGACGCACGATCCATTTTTAATAAAATACGGTTGGTTTTAGTGGCACGACTGATTCCTTTAACAAGTTCCAATCTCAAGACTTTAGAAAAAAATCAGATATTGTTTCCTTTTTAGAAACGTAATTTTATTTAAAAGACAAAACAAGCATGAAAATTAAACAACATCATTAAGAACTTGTGTACAAGAATACATCACCACACATTTAGTACTTTACATTATAGAGTTGGAGTCTTTTTTAAATACTCCTTATCAGTAACTCTCACTGTATGACATATCAGGATATTCATTTGCAACACTCGCAGAATCATCATCTGAATTGTCCTGTTGTGATATCTGTGAGAGAATCTCTTCACCTTGAATGTTTCTATTTTTCAAATTTCCAAGCCAAAATGCTTCTTGACAATTGTGGAGTGCCAACATACCCTTGACTCTAAAAAGTAGAGTCTCGAGACATTTTTTCAAAGGCGGTACTTGCTTCGCGAAAGAAACATCTTTAACAACTTTGGAGTGGCATGTGAGATGTTGAAGTTGTCTTGTCGTAATTTGAAGATGCTTTAAGATACTGATGACATCATCTTGATACAAGGGAAACATTTTTTCACATGTTGTCATCCCAGTTTTTATAAAACTCTCTATAAGAATGCGACCATATTTCAACGAAGTCAATATATTTGACTTGTGTTTGAAGTCGCGCAAAAGCCTGATCACTACGCCAACAACTTTCATAGCGTCATTCCACTTTAGCAGAAGTTCAATGCTTTCAGATTCATCATGTTTTGATTTGATACCAGGAATTTTACCAATTTCATCTGTCAAGATCTCAAAAAGGCAAGCATAGAGTACATGTACATTAGACTTAGTAAAACAAGGATATATGAAATCTTCCATGTCTGATTGTCCAAGTTTGCACAAGCCTTCATCCACAAAATGTCCAATTGTTGTCATGACGTCCTTAGAAGTTTGAAGGTTGTAGCGTAGAATCAACCCCAACATTTCATTTCTCTTTCCACTGGCATGTGACGCTTGTCCTGAAGTGGATGACCATTCCGTTTTGAGCATTGTTAAAGTGAAAGAATTAATGTCTGAATTAAATTCTTCCTTTATGTCATTATCGTTTTCAAAATTTTTTATCACAAAAAGTAGTTTCGTAAGATTTGCTGCAGAATACAGCGATGTCTTAGTCACTGTGTTTTCAAAGTTTTTTAAATAGGAAAACGTTGTTTTCAGCAAATGTCTCATGGAAGAGTCTTCACTTACATCTGTTGAAATTCTTCGACTAATGCTGTATAATATTAAGCGCAGCAAATTAGGGTCAGCTTTGATACCTTTCCATGATATAATATGCAGTATAACCTCAATAAGTCGTTCATAGCAATCGATCAGAATGTTACGTTTTTCAAACTCAAAATCTTCAATTTCATCACCTTGTAGAGGAGTGCTTATGCTCTCAAGATGATTGCATAAATGTGGGAGCAATCTACAAGCACTTTTGCCAAATTCAGATGTGTTTATTCGGTCTAATTTTTCAAATCCGACATGAGTGGGGGTAGCTGAAAAAGGAGATATTTTTTTCTCTTGCAACTTGTAACAAACTTTGCTTTTTAGTTCTTGAAGAAGGTAAACCAGTTGGGATGGAAACAGCTGATTTTCTTTTTCACTATCAGTATTAATATTAACATTCAAATCAAACATTTCTTCACCAATTGCAATTTGAAGAAGTTGAAGGGCACTTGTATCCAGTTCTCGAAAGTACTGTGATTTTAGACTTCGAACATGAAATGCCACTTCTGTCTTTTTTGAAGATTTACTCGTCTTTTTAACGGTAGATACTGAGGTGTCATCTGCAGATTGGGCAGAGGTACTCATATCCACCTGTTCTTGAGTGGAAACGGAGGAGGTTTCTAGAGGTGCTGGCGTTGAGAATGAGAAATCAAGAATTGCCACAGGTGGGGAATATTTATGAATCGCTGGTACAAGAGTTTCCAGGATCTTTTCTAGCTGAATTATATTGTTAATTCTCATTAGCGCATGACAAAAACTGGATGCTGTCTTACTAAACATACTAATTTGCTCTCGAAACCAATTCAGAGCAACAAACAAGCTATCCAAAATCATCTTTTGCTCTGTTAATCCATACAATTTGAACGACTTGACATCAAGAGCAGAGTGGAGGACAACAGGGCCGAATGCAAAACTTGACGATTCAGATATATCAGCCTTATTTGTTTCTTCTAACACTTTAAGAAGAGGGCATAACAAAGCTTGACGATAATCACAAGCTTGAACTGCATGGAAAATTGGGATACTTTTGTCTGCATCGTTTTCTGAAATTGCAAACATAGCTTTCGTGTTCGGATCGTGTGTTTTTCTCAACATATCTTTTCCATTTAAAAAATTTTCATTCATTTCTTTGTGAAAAATTTTAAAGCATCGTTTGCTTAATCTAGAATCAAAATTTTTGGTAAAAATGTATGATAGTTCATCAAGATAATACGCTCTGATTCTATTATCCTGTATAGTGTTTTCTTCTAGTAAGTTGAGGATTGAAATTGCTGTTTTATATCCGCTCTCATCACAATTTTCCATTCTACCCAGAATACATAACATGTTCACGGCACCGATGATGCCAATGCAACGAAACTTGGTAGAAGTATGGGTGAGTTGTTTCCGAATAAGCATATGTAATTCATCTTCAATGGTAGGTGCTCTGGTAGTGGATTTATCAAAAGCAAGTCGACTTAATACTTCATATACAAGTCTGATTTGATAGCAGGTTAATCTATCTATATGATCAAGTAGTCCTCTTATGAATAAAGTAAATGGAATTAGCAAAGCAAGATTGTCAACTGCCAAATTTCTTAGTATTGTAAGCGCAGTATCTGCTTCCGTCACACAAAAACTACCAACATGTTCTATGAGGCAGCCAATCACTTCCTGTCGACAATAATTATCCAAATAAGAAAATGAAGTTGAATACAAAACTGACCCAAAATGCTGTAAATTACTGCTATTCGAGCCTACAAACTGTGCTGCTAAATCAGCAACAGTAGAAAAGTAGGGAATCAAAACATGAGAGCACTCCTTGAACGTCATCAAAATCAAATCATCCGATAGAGTTCCTGATGAACATTTTGACTTCATAAGAGACATTGCTGATTTTTTATGAGTAGAATTACAATTTGAGCAAAGTAACAACAAACACACTAAATCCGTTGATGTGAATTCATCCTCTTGAATGTTTTTTAAAATTTTAATCCAGATATCTGCAACAAATGGCTGATATTGTGCAGCGTACAAAATAGCTTCAGCTGTAAGTCGGATACTACTTTCTTCAGACGCTTCTTTTCTGTTGGATTGACTTGACTGAGAACTCTGTGATAACGCGATAGGAGAAAACGTTAAATGATTCCTAAGGCATGAAATACTTCTTTCAGCGTTGTCTGTATTCATCGTTTGAAGAAGATATTTCACTACAACAGGAAGTTCTTCAATTTTTACTGTATGGAGCGATGCAAATATAGTCTGTTTCACATCATCCATTGTAGTGTCAGAACAATTTAAACAACAAAGCGTATCCAATATGGCGATTGTTAATTCTACATTCGATACTATAAGTTCTTTTAATCGCAGCGCAACTTTACTATGCAAGTCATCTCCCACAATTTCTGGTAAACTTGTTACAATAGCACAGGCTGATTGATATGACATATCAGAAGCAGCATCTAACAAATTAGTAGCAATCGATTCGACATCATCAATCACATCTAGCCAGCGTAATTGATTCAGAATTAGCTGAGGAACATTGATAGTTTCGTGTTGACTAGAGAACGAGTCTCTTCCCAACTGAAGACTGCTTGCTTCTTTGTAATTCTCAAGTTTTTTGACTAACATATGAGCAACACTTGATTGTAGAGGCTGCGTTTTCAACATAAGTCGTATACCACTATCTTGTACTGCTGTTGGTGCGGAACCAACATTCTCATCGTCAAGCGTGTTCGTCGTTAGCATCATTCGGACAAACCTTTGCTCATCTTCAGCATATTTTTTAATTCCTACGATAATGTCGTCAACAATTTCTGGATAATCTTCATGGCGTTTTATAACTTTCAAAAATTCTTTGAGAAAAATTGTTTGGTCTTGCTTGATTATATTTGGACTTTCGCCATTCATCAAAACGACACCACATTGTTTTATCATCTTTATAAATAAAGATTTTCCAGTGAATGCATCTGGAAATTGATCCATTTCTCCATCAGTTTTTTTTTGTTTTTGTTTAGAATTGTTGAACGTAGAGGATGGCCTTTTTGTAGTGGGCATTTTTATTCTATGATAGAATGAGCTTCAATATAAAATAAGATAAAAATTTAGATTAAAACATGGACAAAATGTCTAAATATGTACGTATTGAAAGCTCTGTGTGAGATACGCCTGAATACCTTCATACATGCCGACACTCAGTTATATTGATGCACCCAGTAAATATAGATGCGAAAAAGCATAGGTATTGATTGCTTGACACAATATCCACATGTTAATATGATAAAATAATCACACCGACCAAAAGTTTAGATAACCAAAAAGCTTTTAATACTTGTGTTACAAAAATGAGAGAAAATAAAAATTTAGGTATTTGGTATCAAATAAAAAACTAAATTGAGTGTTTTCAATAAAAAACACTCCTCAAATAGTGAAAAATATAAATATTTATTTCCTCATTTGACATGATTCAATAAATGTAATGCAATAGTAAATACTCCTTTAAAATCCAAAGACAATTTTATAGATCAACAATGATATTATGATGATTTATGTCATAAATGACAGAATGAACACCCTACAAAAAATTAGAACAAGGACATTGATATGTGTTAACACTGCAATATGTAACGGCTCACACTTTTTAAGAATTACACATTATTGTCATTAACACATGCAAGGTTTTGTTTGAAATTGTTTTACATTAAAATTTTTAACATGACCAATTCCGAATATGTGCAATCAAAGGGGATTAACAGTTTAGAATCATTGCAGTTAGCCTTGCTAGAGATAAGCGCGATTTTACAGATAAAGTTTAGATTACAAATAAGTGATTTAGATTTAAGAATTTACATTATTCTGTCAGTTTAACTGAACAACATTGTTCATATAGTAAAAATCCAAAGAAGTAATATAGTGAAGGAAGAGTTAGGTATATGATTCCCAGATGTCCCAACATTTGGTTCAAATTTGTCTCTGGAATGAGAGAAACTGGCATGGCGGCAGAATTGTCAATTCTGCAGATTGGAAATTCCATCACAAATTACGATTTGCTTGAAACAAATTACAGCAAAGAAATATGGACCACAGTTAAAAACCTTGTTGCACTGAGGGTATTGATGATGAAACTATTCAATTTTTGAATTACTATGCAAGTAATTAAGAACCCAATTGCAGAATTGTGCTGATATATTTCTTGTCAAGTATTTTTAAAACAAAAAAGATGGCATGTTAAAAATGGACTTACTAATGTAAAAATGTTAATATTCTGGTAACTAAGACAGTAAGATACACCGAATAAAAAAATAAATATTGCTTATTTCTGTATTTCAGTATTATCAAATTTGAAAATCCGTAGAGCTTACTTTACATTGTTTGAGACTAAATATATGATAACTGCACTGCTTTTAACAGCCCCGTGTGCTTATGCAACTGTAATAGACAGCTAAAGCATGATATAGTGATACCGTACAATTTTCACACTGAAATTACCAAAAATTCTGAAAATGGAAATTTTCAACCTGGACCATGATTACGTTCCAATGCGAAATCTTAGTTTCGTTGGCAATATTATTTTAGTAGCTCTTACGTAATGATGTCCATTTTACATCTTTCGTTTTATTGCCTAAGGCCCTAGACTACATCATACACATTCCGTGCCATGGATTGTAATTTCAATTTCTTGCATCAGAAATCTGATCCGAGCTGTTGCGCCATTTTACAAACATTCGAGGGGAATCCCCAACTGAGCGGGAAATCATTATAGTAAACTTCAGCTGTAGCGAAAAAATGAATTGTTTGTTTAATTATTGAAATCACATTCGCTTATGAAAAAATAATTGTGAGTTTATATATGATCTCGCAACCAAATCAGAATCATTTGAGAAGTAGACGTGAGTTTATTCTGGAGACTAACTGCATAAAAGAATTATCAATTGGTATATTTGCATTATACGACAACATTTTTATTGCAGAAAAGAAAAGCAGAACTAATTATAAAAGTGATTTCTTAATTGTATTGGTATTATGTTCCTCAGTATGATGCCGGCGTCTGGGCTTGGTAATCATATTGTTAATTGTGTTTAATCGAGTTCGTATCGACCGAAGCAGTTGAAAATTTGAATTCATCATTTCTACCAGTTACCGAGCACGGTGCGATACATCGTCCGTGCCGGGAGCGATTCATCGTCTTTTCTCCGAAACTACTGTGAGAATCAATTTCAATTTTTTACAACTTGGGGATTGAGAAAGTTGCTTAACTTTTACTTTATCTTAACTTTTAATTTTCCTGGCTTTTCTGAGTCCTACGGGCTCATTATTTCACCAAATATTTGAACGCTTGTTTTGATAACGTTCAAATCAATACGCAAACAATTCATCTTTGCATCGTCAGGATAATATTAGCGTGAAAGGAATTTCCACGAAGAATTTTTGTTAGCAAACGAAGATTTCCACAATTGCCAAATGAACGAATGCGAAGTACTAACGCTTATTTAGTGCAACAACCAAAAATTCCTTACTTTTTCAATTGCTGGTAGCCCGAGGCCAATATCGCCTGACACCCAGCATTTGTATTTCCCCTTATGTCGGAAACAATTAATTGGTTAATATTACAATGTACGACGAGTGGTGTAATAGATAGATAGTTCATTTTGAATATTAAATATTTAAGTCTTCTTATCGGCTTTCTTCTAACCAAAGATAAACATGAAACTTATATTTTTTATTAAACTCGAAGAGTTGTAATCTTTTTCTGGTTTGACAAACAAATAAATTTATCTCTCTTTCATTCTCATTCAACATAAAAAAATCAGCTTCATGGCGCCAACATACGGATAACTGATTCGCGTGATTGTTTTCACAAGCACGTGACGTCAAAGTCAGTCATTGGTGACGTTGCTTGGCCGGCTGTTTTGTTGTTATATTTGTCACTTCGCTTTCGTTGTTCCTGCATTTGCTGCAAATACTTCTTTACATACCGTAAAAGCGCCTAACTTCGGACAAAATTACTATATTTTCGTCTATAACTCGGCCATTTATTGTCCAAACGGTGCCAAAATTGCTCGGTAAAACATTCGTGCGGTAATTTACATTCCCTGCAAATTTCGGTTAAATTGGACTATTTTTACTATTGAAATAATCGATATTTCTTGCCATCTGACCGTTATCCTTCACTGCCCTAACTTCGGACAGTCATTTTCTTCACTGCGTAACTGCGACGCACAGAGAGAAAGAGGCTTCCGATGCGGATGACGTAATCACGTCGTTGCGTGAAGATAAGACGCTCGATCGTCGTCGTAACGTAACATTGACGTCACGACGAAAATGCATTATTTGAAACTTCCGTCGTCCTATGTTTACATCTTTCGTTCGTTATTTTTGATACTTCAGATGAGTATAATAACACGTTAGTCATTTTAATCAGGAAATGCATACGTAAATATATCTGATGCAAACCGTTTCAATCCACAATGAAGTATTTTAACGGGCTTCTATCGAAGTCTTTGAAGTATTAATATTCTCGACGGATAGCTTTTTTTTATTCTGCGCGGTTACCTTTATAAATGATAATTTATATCAAACACACGGTAAATCCGATTGTAAAGTTTAATTTAAAATTCAACTTAATCTTGTAAACATGTAGGTCCCGTTTATTTGTTGGCGATTAAATTTATTTTTAATTTCGAGTGAATAAAATTCACCCAGGCCGTATTCAATAACTGTCATTTCGACTGCTAATCATAAAATAATGGTTAAGTCAGTGCACTGTGCCATATGGATGTTGGAATTATCATAGTTTTATATATTCGATATATATTCATACATGACCGAACAAAATACGAAAATATTACATTGGAAGGCCGTCTTTATCTTAACGAAAATTGTCATATTGGCGCCGTTGTGTCTGGCGTCAAAATTCATTTCCGCGACGCAGTGTGACGTCGTGTCGGAAGTGAGCGAAAAATAATCTACGTGAGGTTGACGTAATTTTTGACGCTGCGTGAAATCTTAATATTCTTACGGAATTTATGATTCAGAATTTTAGGTTTTATTTAAATCTCGTACGACATCTTGCGATCACTCAAATAATTTATATACATTGTTGTCGCCCTCTACCGAATGATGGTATTTTGACGATGATAGCTTCAGTAGGAGCGACGCACTGCGCCGTTGAATGCCGGGCAGTCAATTTTCGGCAAAATTTCCGTTTTTTCACCAAAAAAATAATTATGCAACATTAAAAAAGATGAGAATAGATGTAGATATAACAGCGCAACCTATAATAATTAAAATTAGCAATATACGGCGCGTTTTAGCCAAGATATGGCCGTTTAAAAATTTTGTCCGAAGTTAGGAACTGTCCGAAGTTAGGCGCTTTTACGGTAATGGGTTTGTTTGGTAAGACACCGCAGCGAGATCCTAAAGAGGTTGTTAGGGAATGGTCTGCAAAAATGAGAAAAGAAAATCGTGTACTCGATCGCCAGATCAGAAGCATACAACGAGAGGAAGAAAAGGTGAAAAGATCGATGAAAATGGCAGCGAAAAAGAATGAAATGGACGTTTGCAAGGTACTGGCAAAAGAAATAATTCAATCTAGGAAAGCAGTTGGTCGTATATATACAGCTAAAGCTAACATTAGCTCTATTGAAATGACAATGAAAAACCAAGCCGCATTGGTACGAGTCTCTGGAGCAATGGAAAAAAGTACTGAAGTTATGAAAGCAATGCAGTCCTTAGTGAAAATCCCAGAAATTCAAAAAACTATGATGGAAATGTCGAAGGAAATGATGAAAGCTGGAATTATTGAAGAAATGATGGAAGATACATTTGAATCAATGGAGGATCAGGATGAAATGGACGAAGCGGCACAAGATGAAATCGATAAAGTTCTTTTTGAAATCACAGCCGGAGCACTCGGTAAAGCACCTGACAAAGTCACAGATGAACTTCCTGAAATTGCTGGTCCTTCAACGGAAAATGTGGAAGAGGATAGCGAGGACGAACAAGAAATGCAACAAAGGCTTCAAGCATTGAGGAGTTAAATATATATGAAGCCCTGTAAACTCATAATGGAGTGCCATATGCTGTTCGCCTCGTCGAATATTGCCTTGATTTCTGCTCAAAACTGTAAAATCTTGTACATTTCGATCTCATTGCATCAGGCAATATCTCTGACCAAGACAATAAGGATGAAATTATCTTATGAACCTTTTTATATAATTTTCCCGAGTAATATGATAGTTGCGAACTTTGCCGTTAAATTCTCCGGCTTCTTCCACCTTGTAAATTTAAGTATCAGAAATATTTATTTGATGAGTCAGCGCCATGATCTCTCACCCGCTCTACTTTACCCTCTGGATGAATATGCAAAATCATAATCCCATCAAATAGTATCACATTTTATGTGTGTTATATTAAATAAAGTCATCTTAAATTTTTACTCAAACCCTATTAGCTTTCGTGCTTATTATCTTTCGTGCTTATTATCTTATAGTCAAAATTTGGAAGCATAAGTTACCGTAGTTTCAACAAAGTCAACTCATGAGAATAGTAATATTCGAATATGGCGGCAAGGGGGACTTATGAGCATGTAATTTCTGCTCAAGTGTAATATGCTTGCTTAGCATGTTCTGTTGCTTCAAATTATCCTAAAAATTAATTTACGAGCAATTTTCATCCATATTCTATCATTACTCAATAAATGTACAGAAATTGAACTTTTCAATGTCGGAAATATAGTTTAGTTGAATTTCATATGACAGCATTTTATTCTGTTAGCGCCATTAAACGCATGGTGGAATTTTTAAAAAGTGTCGGTACTTTAAAATTTCTTCGTTATGGTATATTAAAACAATTGCTATAAACTTCAGAACTCTGACTGGAGTAGCTGTCAAATTATATAAAAATTGTAATTCGGTAAAAGCAGCTATCATTTGTTATACACCTTCAATAGCCGTTGCTATCACCCACATTCAGTTTAAGAAATCGATAACATATAATCTAGTTTTATACATTAAAAATAACTTTTCATAAGTTTATAGATTGTGTGTTTCCATCTAATTCCTGTTTATCTGTAATTTTGTTTTGTAATTATACCTTTTTTTTAAATACATATTAATTTTGTCTTGCACTTGATTATTATCCCTGTTGCGTTTTATATTCTTACGATTAGGAATGTCATAGAACGTTGTAAAATAAAATTCATTTATTAAATATTTTTTAAGAACGTCATTATTAGAGATTGAATGGAATTTTTCTTATTTCAATTTTCAGTCAAAGAAAATTTAGTCATTATGACCGTATCACATCTGATGATCATAATTCAAATGTTTAAATGTTGATTGTTTTTGACGGAATAAAATCAACTGCTGTACTTTATAAGCAAGCGAATTTTGACAGTAATAATGCTAAACTTATATTTTTTATTTCACGTAGAATATAGGAAAAATAATATATTAGGGAATAGCATTTTCAGTAATAGATTTAAATGTAAAAGTCTTAACTTAATTGTGTGTTGTATAACATAATTGTGTAGTTATGGCAACTGCTGTAACGGAAACAGCAATGGAAACTAAAGTAGATACTGGACATAGGGAAATGGAAGTTAATAACTTATTTGCACCTCAAAATGATGTTTTTGACATTGATGACGATGACCTGTCAATAACACTGAGAAAAGTGAGTTAAACTTTTATATTTTTTCTTAAGTATTTAAGAACATGCTTTTATACCAGGGGTGGGCGAGTTTTTTTGACAAGGGGCTGAAAATTTGGGCCACCTACACTGGCGGGCCATGTAAGTGTGACTGACGATTTATGAGCAATATTTACAGTGTTACAAAAGCAAAAATTGAAAACAATAACTAACTCCTGCTAAAACTAAAATTTATCGCAATCTCAACAGATTATTTAAGCTATTTTTCAGTTAAAACATCGAAATTAGGTAGTGTGGTTGTGGCAGCATCAGGTGGGCCCAGATTGAATTACACAACGGGCCCGATTAGGCCCGCGGGCTGTAGTTTGCCCATGTCTGTTTTATACGATTGTTAATTTTATACAGGATGTTCTTGTGAGTCCTAATGATGATGAATACGATCAACTCATAAGACAATTGAGTCAAAGGATAGCGGAAAACCAAGGAGAATGTGTTTATGCTATCGGAGAAAGTGGTACGTATTATGAAAATATATTTTTACTTTGTCGACATGACTCGTTGACATGATTATATATATATATGCCCTGCATCTGATATGCCAAATTGGTTTTTCCATGTGAATATATTTAAAATGACTGTATTCCTAATGAAATATAATGTTTTATATATTAGTGACTCTTATAACTAAAGAAATTTTGAAGCCATTTTTTGACATCTAAAATAACGGTTGTGATATGATTGTTGGTAACGATAATGTTCGGTGCTCCAGAAGTGTGTACCAATATGGGGGTAACTAATTTTGTTCGCCTACTTTATATCAAGTTGTGTAAAGGGACGGAAGCCTATGGGACAGTCCCCGAACTCAAATAAGAAAAATCGAAATAAAATTATGGCCTAACCCTAACCTGGTACACATCTTACGGACTCTTAATAGAACTAAAACAAGGAAAATCGGAAGAAAATTATGGCCTAACCCTAACCTGGTACGTATACTACAGGAGTACCTAAACCAGTAATGTCGATATCAATATATTTGTATATCTCTATTTGTGATCAATAACTTAGTCTAATTAATTAGTCAGTCTGTATAATTAAATACAATGTCTTCTCACAGAGGATGATACTGAAAGTGGATTGAATAGCGAAGAGCTTGAGCATTCAAAAATAACTCTGGTTAGTATGGCCGCAACAAATGAATGTGATTGCACATTTTTACGAGAACGTCCTGCTAGCGAAGGAAAAGTGCATGAGTTTTTAATTCGAAGGCAACATGACGAGACTGATTTTTTAGAAGTCAAGTAAGTATGATTGATTGCGAGTAATATAATAACTTTATATCTCATCAAGTTTGGACCTGGTCAAATTTACTGTACAGTCTGATTGTATCATGAGTTCTTCATCTATGATTAGGCTAAATCATGTTTGATGAATATATAAATATAAAGTAATGAAATTACTAAATCTGGGTATTTTGATTGGTCTCTGTGAATAAGTAGTGGGATAATGACGTACCGGTATCATTTTAAGTTTACAAAGTCACATGACTAATGAGCCGTAATTCAGTGATTCATGTAGTCATAGAGGTTCTATTTATTTATTGTGATGAAACAATCACAAAGAATATGACGCCTGATCTATTTCATAGATATATAATTTAATACCATTATCTTTATTTTTCATTCTACTAGTTAATAATCTCCTCTTATTTTTTTAATGGATTCTAACTTATCGTGTTAGTAGCTTTCATGTATGACTTTGTTAAATTTTATCGAGAACAAATGGTGTTAAAATTATATACAAAGGTGATGAATGCTAATTACCGTACTTTTCAAGTTCATTTAAGTACATAATAAAATTGATCATAAAGTTTGGAATCGTTTTCTAATATCACAATTTTAACTGTCACAATCTTCTGAACAGTATCCTAATCATACTTCTAATTTTTATTCTTTTTTATTTAGAGTTGCAGTTGTTGGGAATGTAGATGCAGGAAAATCAACACTACTTGGGGTTCTAACGCACAATGAACTTGATAATGGTAGGGGCCATGCTCGACAGAAGCTTTTCAGACATAAACATGAAGCAGAATCAGGAAGAACCAGTAGCGTAGGGAACGAAATTCTAGGATTTGATAGCGGTGGAGCGGTCGTCAATAAACCTGACAGTCATGGTGGGTTGGAAATTTTATGTAAAAGTAGTGACATCAATATACCACTTTATTCGCTATTTTTGTTTACTATATCCCACTTTTATGTACCATATACAATGCTTTTCTCCCATCTGATTGTAAACACTACATGGTAATGTGAGAAAAGACGATGATGTATGACTATTAAATAAAATAACACAGGTTGTATATTATTATTATCCCTCAAGGAAGTAATGTCAATGAAATACCAGTAGCTTGTATATGTGAAAAACCATTTATACAATTTGAATATCTTTTATACTATTATGTGTTATTTGTGATCTGAACAAAACTGGCCAGTAATTCAATGTCATGAATTAAATGTCAATGTCATTGAATCCATAGGATTTTTATCACTCTTAGATAACTTAGATAAGATACCTTAGCTACGAGACAAATTTGCTAACTATTCGTATAAATAAGAATAACAAAAAATCTCGTTCCACGAAATAACAGGAATATATTTCGAGCTTTCGATATAAAATAGTCTGACTTTTTCAGACAAAACAAGTTAAGAGATAAGTTAATCAAATAGAAATATCTTGTTTCGTCTGAAGATTTCAGACTATGATATAACGAAATCTCACAAATGTTTTCTCTTCTTATCATTTTGATACTATCTCTTATCGAACATCCTTGTGGCAAGAGTCACATACATTTTCGAACTAAGAAGTAAACAAGGGGAAAAATATTAAATATCCTAGTAATACCCTCTGTTAATGTTATAATTATAATTTTAAACCTATTTTTCAGGTGGACATATTGATTGGAGCATGATTTGCCGACAGTCATCCAAAGTTATTACATTCGTTGATCTCGCTGGACACGAGAGATATTTAAAAACCACTGTGTTTGGGATGACCGGTCATCTACCAGACTTTTGTATGTTGATGGTGAGGCATTGGGTTTAAGTTTCATTAGCATCAATTACTAGTCATTTTTTCACAATGTTTATTGATTTTTCAGATTGGAAGCAATGCTGGTATTGTGGGAATGACTAAAGAACATCTGGGCCTTGCTCTAGCACTCAACGTACCTGTCTTTGTTGTCGTTACTAAAATAGATATGTGTCCACCTAATGTGTTACAGGTACGCTTGTTTTTATGCAACGCTTGCTTACGGTTTGCCACTCTGAACAAGGCCCTGTATGCCAATCAATTATATACTAATTTTTGGTGAATATTATTGTTTCCTGAAAGTGCATAATCAGTGCAAAATATCATACAATTTTATTTGTCGTAATCTTTTTGCTTTAGCAATTCAACAAAGGGTAATCAGTTAATTCAGATTCCATAAAACAAAATTGATCCATATTCCTGCAATGATATTCGATCATTTCAGAACACTGAGGGTCTAAAATCATCAAAGCATCATTTTTTGTATCTTTTTGATCAAAATTTTGTACCAGAATTTTCATCCAAATAAAACAATTGTCATATAATATCACAATTTGGGTTTTTATGAGAAATAAACGGCATAATTTTTTATACGCTGGAGTACTTTGTGCCCCATCATTATTATAATGAGGGTTAATCTTCACCGTTTAATCCCTTTTTTCTTTCAGGAAACTTTGAAACTACTTGTTAAAATATTGAAATCACCTGGATGTCGAAAAATTCCTGTTCTTGTTTCTAATAAAGACGATGTGATTGTTACAGCGACAAATTTTACTTCCGAAAGGTTTGTTGTTTGTATGCTGTGTATTAGAGCTTGACTTCACATGTGGGAAGCTTTCTATACAGTGTGGTATTTGCTTCTACTTTACCATGTTATAAGATTTGTACAGTAATTTTCTCTGTTGTGGAGCATGAAATAAAGGATCATTTTGAATAATTTAGGCCAAATTAGTTTTATATACCATAAATTATTTGGGGGTTCGGTCCATCATAGGTTATTTTTAGTATTAAAGATATATTTTTCCCCAAACTGCCATGATCATATAAAAAAAAAATTGTGTTCCAAGGGCAAAATAGATATATGAATTATTTTCTAATTCTAAGCTGGAGTTACAGTTATGTCACACGTCAAAATAATTATTTCTGATTATCAACTAACATAAAATGAGAATACCGTAACATAATCTTTACCAGAAAATCATAAGTTGATTTATGAGTTTCCGTTTTTTAAAAAAAAGATATTACAAGATAAAACGATTCAGCTAAGATAGCAGTTAGGCATAACTTGACATATTGCATAACATGCTTTTCAATGTGTTTGTAAATTTTTTGTTCGCAGGGTTTGTCCTATATTTCAAATCAGCAACGTCACAGGATTAAATTTAGATCTCCTCAAAATGTTTTTAAATTTGTTAAATTGTCGGACGAAATTCAACGAAAAAGAAAAACCAGAATTATTAATTGATGACACTTTTTCTGTACCAGTAAGTATAATAGAATAAGATTTTCATATGTTTCCCAGCGATGAGAAAAGCTGTGAAGATGGTTTGATTGTATGACGAATCACGACCTCACATCCGGATACCAGTCCTTTTTGGGTACAGGACCAGTGAACTATTTTATATACCAGACATGGGCAAGTTACGGCTAACGGACCAAATCCGGCGTATTGGGTAATTCAATCTGGCCCGTCTGATGCTGCCTTGACCAAACTAAAACCAAATTTTTATGTTTTAGCTAAAAAAAATACCACAAGGAATTTGTTAAGATTGCGATTAAATTTAGTTTTGGCACGAGGCTTATTGTTCTCAACTCTAATTTAACACTGTAAATATTGTTCATAAAATGTAACTTTTCACGTAACATGGGCCTGTCAGTCTGGGTGGGCAAAATGCATAGCCCCTGGTTAAAAAATCCGTGCCGACAACTGTTATATACTCACTGAAATATATTAAATGTCATACATTACTTTAACTTGTGATGCTTTTAACTGCCATGTAACACTTTTTGTTCATATCATAGGGTGTTGGCACTGTCGTATCAGGAACGGTTCTCCAAGGTTTGATTAGAGCAGGAGAAACATTACTACTGGGTCCTGATGCTCTCGGTAAATTCGAACCAATCCAGATTAAAAGCATACATCGAAAACGAATGGCTGTACGAGAAGTACGTGCTGGACAATCTGCCGCACTTGCACTTAAAAAGGTATAAGAATTTATTATGGACCCTTTTGCATAGAAATGTTATTAGAATTGAGATTGAGAACATATATTGATTGCTATATCATAAATTTTCATCACTTGTAGGCCCCCTGCTCTTATTTTCTCCGCCATGTTTAATAATGAAAAGCAAAAGAATGAAAGCATTACAGTCAAAAAATTAACAAATTGCAGTCAGTTTTGCCTAATTAACATAGTCCTTGTGAATTGTACACAGTGAAAGCCTTAGCTCGGGGGGCCTCGAAGACCCAGTTTTAAAAACCCTGGTTTATATGATATTCTTTACAACAACCATAGGTTATTTTGAAATATGTCTAAGGAATTTATATTCACAAAAATAATCTTATTTTTGTTTTGCAAAATCAAGTTTTATATCAAATTTTACAGGGTGAAATTGGGCATACAACATGCTATGCTACAATTATCGATTTAGCATATTCAAAATTGAAATTATATGCTATCTAGCTATTCAAATATGAACCTTGCATGTTTTTTCTATTTTAAATTATATATGTTCAATCAGATCAAAAGGGCGAACATTCGTAAAGGTATGGTGATGGTTGATCTCAAGTCTAATCCAAAAGCGGTCTGGGAATTTCATGGAGATATATTGGTTTTACATCATCCAACAACGATAAGCCCCAAATATCAAGCAATGGGTAAGTTCAGAATCACATTCTCACTGTTAAAGTTTATCCTCCATTGCGCTGCGAATATTGAAAACGCTCATTAACACCTTGCATAAGATTTAATCCTGTGAGTGATGATTGCGCAAACTCTTTTTTCTGTTGCTAAGTTGTTCGCATAAGTACCAATCTGTGACGTCTAACTTCGTTAAGTTATGCAACCAGAAATTTAAAGCTGGTTTACCTAGTCTCAGAAATTCTTAAAACTTCATCGGTCGGAATTGTCGCCCAAAACTTCGCTAAAGTGATGAGTCTTCTTTGTTTGTGAGTGTGACCTTGATTCGAGGATAATTCCCTAAAAAAAATAAAATCTTCCCGATCCCATGTGAAAGTGATTGCAAAAGCAGTGATTGTTCTAGAACGCTGAGCTATGCCCATGCTATCAACTTTATTGAATAACTTGGCTTGAATTTTTCTATTGTACAAAAAATTACCAACTTACAAGGCAAACATTCGCTGCAGAAGTTGTCAAAGTTCAAATGAGTTTTAAAGAAGAGTTAAAAAATCTTGACTCTGACTTGCGACTCTGGGTTGAAAATAATTTTGGCATATGTCTTCTTTTATAGACTGTTTAGAACACTAAGTAAATTTGATGCTTTTCGAGTTTCTGAATAATTTTTGGACTTTCATTATCACCATTGAAAGTATGAATTACGACTCTCGAGTGTTAGGAATTCAAATTTTTGATTCAGTCTCTCTGAGACGTTTGAAAATTCAACACTAGTTCTGACTCCAACAGGTCTGGTTTCAGCAGGAAGTATGACACGTGCAATCTCACTCTGTGATATAAAATATAGGTAAAAATTCTAATCCAATCTAATAAAACGATATTGTGTATTATAGTTCACTGTGGAAGCATAAGACAAACTGCCACTATACTACGAATGAATCACGATCATTTACGGACAGGAGATAAAGCTTCTGTCAGTTTTAGATTTCTTAAAAATCCAGAATTTCTTAGAGTTGGACAAAGATTCGTTTTCAGAGAAGGAAGAACAAAAGCAGTGGGAACAATAAACGAGGTAGTCATGAATTGATGTTTTTTTCATAGCTGAGCAAGTCCAAGTCCAAAGTCCTAAAACAGGTTGACTTACAAGTCGAGGCTCTGCACTCTAGTTGCAAGTCATTACAGATTTCCTAAACAGCAATAAAATGGATAGACGTCATATTTACAGTATGATATGAAACTTTCCATCTCATGTTAAACAATTCAGAATTTTGTTTTGGGGGGAGTTCAGGAAAGTATGACTCCAACTCAAATTAAAACATGCCAGACTTAGAGTCCACAATTGTGTTTGAGTATTCAAGCCTCACATTTTCGCAAATCATGTCCGTTTCCCTGTTATTTTTAACCCAGTTTATTAATTATATGGTTATTTACTTCTAAATATCCTATTCTTTAGCTTGTGTTTGATGCGCCAGCATATCAAAGTCACCTAAAAGCATCAAAAAACGCACGACAGATGGCTCTACATCGTCATTTTCAACTGCCATCTACATCTTCAACCAATCGCACAACACATTCCGCGACCGGTCGAACGTCGCCAACAGTTGCCGAGCAACAACAACAAGGTTATCAGAAAAACCCTGAACAACGAATGGCAGGTCGGCGGAGAGGTGGAAAGAAGCAATATGACAAGCGGGCAGATGATGCCGAAATAGTTGAAACAGTAATTTCAGAATCTGATGTAACCAAATAACTTTGAAAAAAATAGTTTTTTTGTCCGTACCCATTTATGTCAGGTTTATATTTTAAGGTTCTTTTATGCTAATCATTCAATATTCTATTCAAAATGATATACTATTTCAGGTTTCAAAAAAGTATATTTCAATGTACCGTAATTATTTTGTCACAAAGGTAGAATCCAACACACAACGTTTCTGCCACTCATGTATTGTCCTTTTTGTCGGTTGTTTCCTGGGTGCTGACACTATTTACTCGCTCTACCTAGAATTACGAATCATTATTAGCGTACAGATTTAGTTATTTAGATTTCTTTGTGAAAATTGATTGAAAACACGTATTCTTCTATTGGTGATAGGCCAATAAGTTTTTAAAATTTTCTTGTCTTTTGCGCATCGTGCTCAAATGTTCTTTCTTCGTGTCGTGAATACAAAATAAAGGTATATGTTTCAAAACTTCTGGTGTTGATCATATTGTCATTCTGTTCCGAAGACTATTTTCAAGATGGTTTGTGGTGAAAAAAGGTCACTCACAGTTAAAGAAGTGAAGGAACTTGTCCATAGCTGATGTTAAATTGAAAAATGCGAATCGCTAATGAAACCGTACATGCTTATTTGTGCAAGATAAGTTGATCCGCTGTTATTAAAAAGCACTGAAAATTGTTGCTACCGATACCAAATGATTTATCTATTACATTCAACAGGCTTTAATTCTAAACTAGTTCTCATTGCCTTAGTGAAGCTGTATGCTCCAGTTGAACTGTGGCCTCTGCTTTTGGATGGATGGATCATTATGTGATCTTGTCTACAAATTTACTTTGTCGAACGAGTAAATATATATTTTGACTCAAAAACTCCTTTTGTGATTTGATTACCAGTATCAAAGGCTGGCACTCCAGAAGTATGTGTACCAATATGGAGGCAACTAATTTTGTTTGCCTCCTTTACACCAAGTTGTGTAGAGGGAGTGAAACCTATGGGCTAACAGAGACAGTCCCCAAACTCGTAATAGAACTAAAATAATGAAAATCGGAATAAAATTATGGCCTAAGCTGGTACACACACTACGGGAGTAACTAATTACCTACATCTTATTAGAGCACAAATCAAGTGATCAGTATGGTGGGCATAGTAAGAGGTAATTGAATGATCATAATAAGCAGGTAGAATTTACTGATTCTACTGAGCCATATATGCACAGCAAAGTGCATGGTTTCGATTGATTAGCAACCATGAGTAATCATAATCATTTTTACTTTCAATGCTCGAGGTAACGTAAGTATCCGTAATGTATAAGTAGGATAGGATAGGATAGGATTTACATATTTATCCCGGGAGAGAGGAAAGCCGATAAGACGGCTTATCCATATGGCGAACCACGGCCTCTCGTCCGGTTACCATTCCAAGTCGGGTATGGGATTAATTTTACTGTATTGTTTGTTTTCGGAAGCCTGGACTTGGTGGTGGAGGAAGCCGTAACCGACCAGCGGTTACGTGAACCACCCAACGACGGCGAGGAGTCCAGCAATCCTCTCGCACATAACCATCCCTGCATGGGATTCGAACCTGCGAGCCCACGCAGAGTAATTAGAGGTGCGGTGGCGAGCGTATTCCTAACGCTTAGTCCGTTGAGCCACACCGCCGTCGGCAACCTTTTTGTCGCTCGCAAGCCAAACTTAAAGATTGTAAGTCATTGGCGGGACACACATATTTTTGGAAAGTTAATAACCGAACGGATTACCGATAAATCACATTCTTTCACACAGACCAGAAGTTAAATTTCAAGCAGCGCGCGAAGACTGACCATTTGAATATTTTCTGCGCCATTGAACCATTTGCACTTAGCATCAACTCTTCTGCGTTTTGTTGCCATTTGTCTACTCTATATTATAATTAAATTATAGGCTCATTAAACGAGTAATTGTGAATTATATAATTGCTGCCTTATAATATAATTTAGTCTACACGTAAATTCTTTTGCGTAAAGAATATAATCGACAAAACAGCTGTTGTTACTATAATCAGCGTCGCGGGCCGTAGGTTGCCGACCCCTGATCTGGGACCATCGGCATAACCAGAAATATGATACCCAATACGGGAATAGATATATTTTCACTTGAATTCTGTTTTAAATTCCCCCCCCCCCCCCCAAAAAAAAAAAAAACAATCAAACCACCATTTTCAAGTTTTTATTAAACCCAATACAAACAGCTACATAAAGTTAATTCTAAATAACACTACGATAAATTAGCACTACCTAGGCTCCTACAAATAAACAATGAAATAAACACAACAATGACATATATTAATAATCATAAGTACAACTGCTGTAAAGGTATATTGAAGTGTTTTAAGTTATTCCTGGCTTATAAATGAAGTATTTGAATTTTTTGGCTGGAGGTCAATAGATAACACAGTGAGCTTTTATTTTAACTGTAAAAAGGATATTACTTGAAGGACGTTTTGAAGGATGTCGCTGACTGCTGAATGATTTAAACAAATCAATATGTTGGCTGTCGTTACGTTCAAATTCCTGCGACCATGAAAGTTGTGCGAATCCATATTTGTTTAATGCTTATATTCAATTATTTAAAACACAAAGCCTCAGTTTGCAAAAAACGTCATAGGCTGTTTAAAATTGAAAATGTTCGATATATAAACTGTTTACAACAAGACTGCCATACAGGAAAAGCTTATACAACATAATGAAGGACAAAGTTTAAACAAATATTGAAAAGAAACTTAAAAGATAGTCTGAAGTATATCAATATTTGTTTTACGTTGATATTCAGCTAAGGAAAGCACAGACCTCAATTTGCAAAAAAATGTCATAGGCTTCATATAAAATTAAAAATAAATTGTAAAAATAAAAATAATTAGAAATATACTACGTATGTTTTATGGCTCCAAAGTTGGCATATTATTTTGGCAGAATATGAGTTGTCATGGAATCAGAGTACAAACCTATTTACTCTGAAATAATAAATTTTGAAATGTTTCCATGGACGAATGCTATTGCAAGAGTGAAACTAGAAAAGAAATTTTTCCATAATTGAGAGTTTGGTTTTTGATGATGCCATAGTGCAGTCGTTCCCCAGACTGTACGTCCGTAAAGAAACAGTGCATTATGAAATGATTTCAAGTTCATCGCAGAAATTTAAACTTATCTGTCCCTGTTGAGAACTTGACACGATATTATCAAATTTGTCAAAAATTAATATTGATAAAAAAAGTTAGCTCATTGGCCATTCAATTGCGATTGTTCGTTTTAATCGATTGATATTTAGTTTATTTTCACAAAACAAATGCATCGATATTGCAGAATTACATAACCATCGAATAACGAAAAGAGTATTAAATTTTAAATCTCAACTGAAGTACAGCTTCATAGACAATAATACACCATAAATAAAATAAAATTCAATTTTCAAATTATGTTACAAATTAAAGAAAACCTTGTTTACGGATCACAATAATTAACAGTAATTAAATAAAAATTACCCTGCATCAAAAATTAGAAAAATCTCAAGGTCATAATTTCAAGTATGTTTGTATAGATAATATATATATATATAAATTTACATGAGAAAACTTGCTTCATAATATTTAGTGCTTCAAATGTGTACTGTGTTGAATAAAAGTTTTAGAACTATATGCAATTGGATATATAAGGTGCATGAAATTATACAAAGCATAAGTATATAATGTGCTATAGAATACATAACTACGGTAAATATAAATTAGGTAGTACGATATCTAATAAGTTTCAAACCTTTCATAAAGAATGATTAATAAAGCGAGGTGCCCAAAACAAGTTGAATATTCAAATTTGAAGTTATTCGTTTAATTTCTTAAGACTAATCAAATCACTTTTATCTTAAATTTAACATTTTCTTTTATGAACATGGCCAAATTTTGAATATATTTGATATTCTGTAATTCATAACATTATTTTACAAAGTTTTAACAATCGATCTGATTTTAATAACTAACAAATAGTACGGATAAATTGTGATGTACAAAAGAAAGAAAATTTAACTACAAAAAAAAAAAATCTCAGAAATTGTGATGTACAAAAGAAAATCTAACTACAAAAAAAAAAATTTTCAGAAATTTTCCCATTGGATATTATTACCTAATGTGTTTTGGTATTTTTGGTATTCAGGAAATAGTAAACATATTTTGATGGTTGAGACAATCACAAGCCCAATTTATCGCATCAATCACAATTTAAAGTTACTCTTTGTGGACTTTATCGTAAACTTCTGGAAGTGCTTTTTCACACATTGGAAGAGATTTCCGCATTTTATCATACAAACTGTGGTCGAACATATCATAAAATTCTTCTCTCGTCATGTAGCTGTCTGCATAAAGCATCTGAAATCCACCCAAGTCTTTCGTGGCCTTCTCAAGACGACGAGTTGTACGAACATTATGAAAACCAGAAGCTTTTGGTTCTCCGTATGCTCCCACATCAACGTACATTTCCTCTTTTCCGGTAGTTGGATGTACCATACCGGGATCATTTGGAAGTCGAAAAGGACACAGCCAGAGTGGATACATTTTAATTTCCTTGTGAAAAATATCCAAGCAATCGCCCAGTTTTTCTATTGGTAATAACATATCTTGAATAACTTGATGTTCCTCATAGAGACGTTTTATTGTTTTGCCTTGAGTCAGTTTTAACAAAGACACTTTCGGTGGTACGAGCCATCCGAATAAAAAGCGAAAAACTGGATTGTTTCCAAAAGGAATGATATCTTGCAATTCCCAGAAAATGCTCCTTGTATGACGATGGTAGTAATCACGAATTGGGATATATTCGACAGCTTCCCCATTTTTCAGAAACTGTTCAACGTGCTTGAAAAACCAAGGTTTATACCAACGACCTATTCGATTCAGTTTTCCTTCTTCGAATGTATCAACCATACTGCCAGTCATAATGACAGCAGTATCTCTTGAATACGCCAGTCCTTCAACAAAATCATTTTTATCTGTTTTGAAAGATTCTGCAGAAAATTTCTCTGTGACATCTTTGGCCGAGTGGACGGGATGATAATTGATTTTGACATATGGTTTGGCGGGGACGATTCTAATTTCAGCAGCGACGAGGAATCCTAAAGTACCATAAGACCAGGGAACAGCGTAAAAAAGATCTGTGTTTTCATCTTTGGAGCATCGTACAAAACTTCCATCAGCGAGCACTAATTCATATGCAACACATACATGTTGCATTAATCCATATTTATGTGATGAGGTTTCGACACCCGTTCCCATTATTAACCCTCCAACTGTTAGATCATCCATCTCGGGCAATACAGGCAACGTCCATCCTTGTGACAAAAGCAATGACGAAATTTGGCCCATTGTGACGAGAGGCTCTGTACGCACGACTTTTCTTTCCGTATCAACTTCCAAAACATCCATTAAATTGATTTTAATTTTTTTCATGTCGTTTTTATATTTGCTTAATCTGACAGATATAGTGGACCATCCAGGTCTTGCTGTGCACATCGTTTTTCCATTTCCCCTTTTTTGCCATTCTCGAACTTGTTGCTGGACGTCTTTTACTCGAGCATCATGCATTTTTGGAGCGCTGTTGAGTTTGAAAATGATCCACGATCGAGTGTACATGAATATATCAAAAATGAACGAAGCGGGCAGGAGCAAAAAGCACACAAAAACCCATCGATAGTGGATGAGAATGTATTCTATTCCTTTATACCTCAAGTACGCCACGAGCAGGAGAAATGATCCAAAGAAGCTTCCCAAGATATATCTCTGGTCGGCCAAAAAAGACTCAAAGAATTGCTGAGGCACATCCATCTTTATGGCTATGTCTCAAATAAAAAAGTTGGGCACAGTGCACAACAAAAAATATAAAACGACTGAAAAGTATATCACAAATAAAATTTAGAACATTGATAATAACAGAGTGTGAGACAATACCGGTATTGATGAATTTATACAGTATTTGACTACGGTACCGGGAATCCATTTTTTGACATAGCGTTTGAGCGTACGGTAGGCTACTTCAAACACCATTCTGCCATTAGATAAGATAAGTTTATTTAGACTCCATAACGCAGTAACGATAAGTCGATAGATTCAGATTCAGATATTTTATTTCGTCGTGCATGAAACATTGTCAACAAATAATAATAAATTTAAATAAATCAAAAATACACAATGTTTCGCAATTGACGAGGAGTCGCGAAAGACTATTAAGTCATCGTGTCAGCGACACCTATATGCTGGATTACAGCAACAGATATAGCAAAAGACTTGGGTTTATCACGTACAATACGGTACTAAAGAGCATAGAAACAACAACAACAACGGATGATAAATAAAATACGGAAATATGAAGAGCCATGAGGACTTTAATTAAGGAAACCGGTACCGCTTGACGAGCGCAAGGGCGCCATCAAGCGAATGCGATATACGGTACCTCAATGTACACAATTAAACGAGAATAACGCTTATTAACATGACTAAGCACTTTGAAAACTGGATCGGCGTGCCCAGCAACGTTAATTTCAATTTGACAGAACTTTACTGGCTTAATGAACTGATGCATGCTGAAGCATGCATTTCTTTCACATTTAGGTTATATGATAAAAAGTTGTCGAAAGTGAAAAACAGAACTTGGCACATACAGAGTAAATGACGATGCGAATTTAGAATACAGTGGAAGAACACGATTGCATCCCGGTATGGTACCGGTAACGGTTCAGGGAATATACGACTAGAAGAAGATCAGACACATGAAAAGGCAATGTTTTCAGACTACTGGCAAAAATAAACATCAAGGTAATGATTTTTCAATGCATGTTTGAAGGAGATGTAGTTCATTGATCGAATACTGTCAGTGAGCGTGTTCCATAACTTGACACCAGCATAAAAGCCAGCACCAGCATAACCAGCATAAAAGGCGATAAGATAAAATGATTGATAAAAACAAATACCGTACTGTACGGTAAATAAAACAGATTATGAAATCAGGAAAGTAAAAAACCCTTGATATAGCGTAGGTACATCTGTGATCTGTACATGCTGCATACGGGATGAGGACAACTCACCAGAGACAACTCGACTACAGAGGGGGCGGGGCCTGGGGGCCCCATTCGCCAAACTTCGTAAAAAGCCGCGTTTACGAGCACGTAACCTTCTCGAAATCTTACGCACGATCGTCGTTGAACAAAAACCACTGTATGATCGCTCAACCGTATCACTTACTGACTAGCTCGCCCGGCGCGGATAAGCCTATTTTGCAACGATCTCTGCTCTACTTTTTGCAGCCTGTGATTTAAAGTTTGGGGTATGTAGCAGTAATCTATGGATAAATAAAATAAATTCTGAGATACATATTGTTGAACTACTCCTGTAACAGACAATAAAATAGATGAATATGTAATCCCATATTTTATGTTAGTACGGTGTTAGTTGTCATATTTAGGCGGGTTACAGCTACTAGACTACAGTCACTCCTACCTAAGTTAGGCATTTAGGGATTTTTGATACCAATTTTTCACGAAGTATGCAAACACCACAGCATTTGTTGGGATGCATGTCGCGCAGACTTGTTTCAGGTTAATAAACACACATACATATTCATGCTAAGAACAGGCCGAACTACTGCTAACGAGCAACAATTTCCCCTCGTTAGTTTGCTAGCACTCCGGCGCGTCAAAGAACTTCAGTGAATACCCATTCTCGATAAAATGAGAGAAGAAGGCACTTTACGAGACGTCTGTTTTGGCGCGCAAATCTCTCTCTCTCGAATATTAACAATACTTCGAGAATACCATTTTTGCCTTTTACGAGAGAGAGAGAGATTTAATTTCGTCAACCAGAAAAAAAACACTGAAACAATAGCAACAATAAAAATGTATAGTTTTTCGGTATAGACTGGGAGGAGCGATACGACCATACGGTCATCAGAGTCAGCTCCCCCCATATTCACTATTTTAATTATGCATATAAGAATTCTTGGGTTAGTATATGGTATAAAAGAGAATGGATAAGGCTGTCTGGTTTTCTACAATATATATAGTTTAGGTTTGGCTATATAATTGTTTGAGCTTTGTACCCAAATTGGTACCAAGTTACATGATAAAAAAAAAGGCCCACAAAAATTTTTTTTTTTATTACAGAAGAAATACAGAAATAATACAGAAAATAATGGCATCCTAAATAGATATCTAATATTGAGTTAGGTGGAATTTTTGCTCAACATGCCAGCTGATAACAAATCATGGGATATGTGCATTGGAGCTTGGAAGGAGCAGCGGTGTGGAAAACAGTTACAGAAAAGATTTGGAGAAGATTGAGAACCACTTCTGAAAATCATGATCACGAAAATTGGTCACGTCTGGGAAAATTTCACTTAGCAACTTATGCAAAAAATAAATAAAACTTTCACATTGTCAACGTCAAGTACATTCAAAAACCTAATGATAAACTTAATGATGACAATTGGGAGAAAAGCTTTCATTGAAAGGCATGTGTTGGCAAGAAGAAAATTTATACACATCTGAAGAATGTTGGACTTGATAATGCGGAAGACTGAGTGCCCCCTATTATATATAAATAGGACATATATTTATAGGGAATGTCATAACTCGAACTATATCTATGTTTGCTGACTTAATGCTATGAGAAATATTTTTTGCTAATAAAAACTTGAGCCTTTGGGTGATGTATACAAGTCAGTCAAATTACTGTTCGTAGGGTCCGCATTGATAAAAAAAAAGTGGGCGCTTTACTGACACGTTAAACCAGTGGTCGGCAACTTTTTTTTAGGTGACGGACCGGTAAAGCCTGACCAAAATTTTGGCGGACCACCTTTATACAAACGAACTGAGCTTACCTAGAAAATTGTACGCATTAGAAAATTTATGTTGAAATTATCTCCAAAAACAGAGGTACCGGCGATGCTATTTAATGCGAGATCAGTATTTGTTGGCCCATTAACTGTTCCCAATTGGATATATGGTCGACAGTGAAACACGTAACGGGTTTCTTACGTCCACCCTATTTTGGTATTTCGTTTTTGTAGTTGTAATGTCAATATATATCGAAAACTCGACACACATACTAAGGTCACACTGTCTGTGAAGCTTCTCCTTCAATGTCTGAATATTTATCTAACAGTATTGACAAAAGACTGCAAAAATATAAATATATAGATAGCAAATACGCTTTTCAACACCTTATCATTTGAATTTTTTATCGCGGGGATTCGTTGTTGTTAGATTGTAGAGGTGTTTTTGGGACATTGTCCGTTTTTATGCAATCTTTCTGCGGACCGGTAGTAATCTTTCCGCAGACCGGCGATGGGCCGCGGCCGCTGGTTGCCGACCACTGCGTTGAACAATAAAGAAGTTTGGCCCTGGCCGTCTTCTCGCATTTTCCACGGCGGGGTTTTAGGTCTATAGAAATGCGTTTTTGATATTTTTAGTGCTCAAATGTCGAGAAAAATACATAAATATTCTCTAGAAAGCATTTTTATTTATGTAAGTGGCTTATTTTTCTCATATTGTATGGATACAAATACAGTCGACAGACGAAATTGGAGTAACGTTAGCGAAGTAAGACTGTTGCCTCGTGGAATCGTGCGGTTTCGTGAAAGTTGCGATAGTTATCTCATCATCCCATGTGAGTTATGCAACTTTGAAACCTCATATCTCACGAACCTTATATTATATGCAGATAAGTTTGATATTGTTTGAGAGACAATCTAGGAGAATAATTTAATTTATGAGATGGAGATAAAATGCCGCGATTATCATACAAAAATCGGCAACATTGAAAAGCATGAAATATTTTTGAAAAGCTTTTGAATTGAATAACAAAAACTTCGATTTGTTCTTGTTTTAACCTAATATGACATCAACACATTTACAGAGGTTGAAGATATCTTTCGACATTAGATATAATTAATCGTGCACCAGTAAAATTGTATAAGGTATTTCATTCAATGTTCTCCAATTCTTGACATGTCCACTGCGCCAACTTGAGTTAAACAACGACGTTCCCTAATTACTTCGTTACGCAATTACGTCCCAACGTAGCAACGTTCCGTATGAAAAACGGTTCTATTACATTTGAACCCACGTACATTTGAACCCATGACAATTGCACCTGTATGCTAACCCTAACCCATGGGTTTTAGCACCCGCATATAGATTGAACCCGTGGATATACGCATGGGTTCAAATGTAGGGTCACCATGAAAAACACATATATATCGCTTTCCTCCGCAAGTGTGAAACGTCATTAACCTAATGCATACGTTTAAATCAGGTACTATTTGAACTGGTATTATGATACCTGTTTACACCATGCCGAAACTACTCGTTGCGTGGTATCAGGTTGGGGGTGGCGAAATACGGTCGGTGGTGGACTGGTGGTGTCAGATTAGGGGTGACGAAATACGGTCGAGGCGTGTCAGAATGTAGATGGCGAAATATCACTGAGCGTGTCAAGTTACCGTAAATCTGGCAGTAGGGTGCCGGTACGCAATCAGTGACAGCGAGCTGGATGTAATCAAGAATCACTAAAATTTGAAAATGAAATTCGCCAAGTATATATATGTTTATTGCGGCAATTGAGCCTCTGTTATTACTATCAACATAACTAAAGATGTGAGGGTATACCGGTAGTGACGTCAGGAAATATAGAATTAAATAGAAATTATTTATGAAATCGGCGATGACAAACCTTGGAAAGGTATTGGAAGTTATGATTCATAAAATGGTGCATGTATCCGGTGTTTTATTGCATGAATGAGGAACCGATCACGGACCAAAATTTCGAAAAAGAGCACGCCGTATTGTAAAAACAGTAAACGCTCAAAGGAACAATCTTCTCTCTGAACTTCGCGCCCTAGATATAACATTCAATGAAATTCAAAAAATCAAACACGGAGGCACAGTTCGGAGGCCAACGTTATGAAATACATCTGCATATTTATTATCTTGTTGTACAATGTTGCCTTAAATACGTTTGTGTTTGTCGGAAGCTTTAAAACAAGATATGAAAAACGAATAACAGAATATGTTACAGTTAGTTGAAT